ACCCATATAATCTATATCAATTTGATGATTATTTCTAGTTTAAGTATAAAATTTGATCTGTACTTAACCAATATGTTATGCATGTTACTAACACCAATGTTTCATAGTTATGCAAAATTGTATATATGTTTAATTGTTAGCTTTCACTTTATAACATTGTATTATTATGTAAATCACTCAAATGTGGAAATAAAGAGTATATATATATATATACAATACTTATAATTATAGTCCTAATTAATTGTAAAAATCAAAGACTACATTCTTGAATTGGTCAAATCCCGGGATCCCTTTGTGTTTTAATGCGATCCAAGCTTTTCTGAAAACTATATTCTTAAACTGGCCAATTCCTTGGATCTCTTTATGTTTTAATACGATCACGGCTTTTCTGAAGACTATATTCTTGAACTGGTCAATTCCTGGGATCCCTATAATAATATTATGTTTCAATAGGATCCCGGCTTATCTGAAAAACATCTTAGACTGGTCAATTTCCGGGATCCCTATATTGTTAATAGGATCCCGGCTTTTCTGGCTGAAGTGATTGACAACTTGTATTTACTTTAAGACTTGTGTCTGTCACTCATTCCAATACTAAATAACATATTACAACTTAACTTCGCATAAAGAGATATCTTTATGAATTCTACCTATCTAACATTTATTTGGTCAAGGTCAACAGGCCATATAGTAAATGTGCAAGACATAGGGACTTCATTCTATCTGTTTACATGCATCTTCATATATACTCATATTCCTCTTTGTTTAACTGAGAGAACTGGCTTCCATAACTTTATGTCACTTTTATTTTGATGGTCGCTGAAGTCTCTTCAGCTAACAGAACTGTCATTTTTACATTTAAACGCATCCCTGGAAAAAAATTACGAAGCTTTTTTAAAAGCTAACCTTGTTACATATTAAAATAATCTTTGCTATATGTGCCATTTAATTTTCAGGTTCTGCGCATAAATTACGTTAAAGTAATGGACTGGGTTCAAATACAACTAGTATATAGAATACATCAAACAGACAATTCTTTTTATGGGTGTCGTAAAATTCTTCATTACAAAAAACAATTTTTATATCAAAAGACTGTGTAATTAATTGCAATTTATGATGTGTATGTAAAGGACAGTGTCGGATTAATGCAACTTTGATGTGCAGGTCGGTACTCTCAATTATCATAATTGTATACACTTTGATTAAATCATCACCTTCAGGTGCTATAATATAGAAGGTCTTTAATCAGCATGGATTAGCACGCGTGATAAACACTACAACAACTACTGTCCTCCACCATTACTTTTCGGTACACATAGTATGGTCAAAATAAAGACATAACTGAACGAAAATTTATAAGATTTTTTTTATTTAACATAAAAAAAATATAATTATAAAAAAATATGGTTCCAAGCTTTGAATTACTTCTTGGTACTTGTTACATATCATCTTTCTGCCTTTCACACAACCTATTAAATATTAGAAATATGATATATGGTATGAGTAAGATTGAAAAATCGTGTAACTAATCATAATATTTTTAAATAAATTAAGTTCAAATGCAATTTTTGACTTAATAAATCAATTTATAACACTTTCACATAAATAATATGAAGGATTCGTGTAAATTATATAAATATTCGAGTGCTATTCGGTAAAGTAGATGTACTTAGCATTTACGGAAAGCAATCAATATTTCTAGTAACTTTGAAAATCGCATAAATAACCATAACATGTTTATAAAAACATCATGTTATACATTTTTTGACCTATTAAATCGATTGCGAACAATTTCAAACTAAAAAAAATATTTTTTTCATGTATTACTTTGAGAAACTTTATTGCTATTCGGTAATGTTCATTTATCTTAGCAGGACCGCACTCGATATATCTATTTTCCGAAATACTCGTAATATTAATCATAATATAATTATAAAAAACGTGTTGCCTGAAAGATTTTGACTTAATAAATCAATTGGAAACACTTTCAAACTAAAAAGAATACAGTTTCATGTATTACTTTGAGAAATGACATTGCTATTCGGTAAAGAATATGTAACTTAACAGGACCGGAAAGCACTCGATATATCTATTTTCCTAAATAATCATAATATAATTATAAAAACGTGTTGTCTCAAAGATTAATACCTTATAAATCGATTGGAAACACTTACAATACAATAAAACAAACATTTCATCTGATTTTTTTTTAGAAATTATATTGCTATTCGGTAAAGCATATATATGTAACTTAATTAACAGGACCGGAAAGCACTCGATATATCTATTTTCCTAAATGATCGTAATAATAATCATAATATAATTATAAAAACGTGTTGTCTGAAAGATTTTGACGCACTAAATCAATTGGAAACACTTTCAAACTAAAAAAATACTGTTTACATATATTACTTTGAGTAACTATATTGCTATTCGGTAAAGTTAACAGGACCGGAAAGCACTCGATATATCTTTTTTCCTAAATACTGGAACTAATTATCAATCAATATTTATAAAAATGTCTTGTTTTACAGATTCTGATCAAATAAATCGATTTGTAACACTTTTAAACCGATAAAATAAAGTTTTCATATGTTTTTATGAGAAATTTGAGTGCTTTCCGGTTTTTCTATGCACCGTGGAGGAAGGTAAACAATTAAAAGGAACTGTACGTGTCATTTTATTTTCGTCATTCTATTTTCTATGTATTTAGACAAATCCGTTTTATATTGTAAGTGAAGAATATTTGCATGTAACGTAAAAAATAAATTCACTGTAAGATCAATAAGTTCACAATGTATGTAACACATGATATAAATGATTTTTATGCAAACAAAACTTTTGTAAATAAATGTACATGAATTTGAACCGAGAGAAGTGGTAAATTTTTAAGTCAATCTCCGTACAAAAGACACTTATATTGAAGTGAAAACAGTAAATGTATAAAATCATCTGTGCAATTTAAACACTTTTTCTGTCAATTTATTTTGTCGAAATTGTCTTCTTTCTTTTTCGTCTCAACAACGGTGCATGCAGACACCTAGCAACGGTTACGGAAAGTCCGCGCCGTTGTTTAGTGTACATGTACCGTAAAGATACTAAACATAACCAAATAAGGTTCATGCATGAACACTTTCGTAAAGAAAAGAAATGGGGAAAAAAATAAAAATTCAACCTTTGACGGTATACACCCCTGGCAAATGATAAGAGTTACCTCTTTCGGAGGTGTACGGTAAATCGCTCTATCGCTACTTCCGAGCTAGTGCATGTCGCTAAATCAAGTGTTTTGATATATTTTGTCAATTCTACACCAAATATCAAAATTCGGAGACTGCTATGCGATGTAGATTTAAGTTTCCAGAAAACGTAAAGTTGTTATAATTTTGTTTGAAATGTAGTTGTGGCGGCGTTTCCCAGTTAGCGAGTTCAGCGTTGAAATGCTGGATCTTTTAAGGACCTTTTTAATCTGAATCGCTGTTTAGTTGAAAATCGGAGGAAAAAAGTCTGTTTAATGATGAAACGGCCCATTTCAACGCTGAACTAATTAATTACTTAAATTAATAGAATATTTTAAGGCACATTATTCCTCAGAAATACGTATTTTTATTCTTAAGAAATGTCAAACACATGTTTGATAATGTTTCAGTAATGAATTTAAAGCAGATTAGATGTTTAGCAAGTACAGAAAGGAACAATAAATATTCCGTTATGTGTCTTAAAGTAAGCAAAGAAGTATTTTGACTTCCATACAAAATACTAATTAAATATAATTATACTACTTGCCAACAGAGTATTAGAATTAAAAGATAGTCCATCTATTAATTTAATAATTTTATTTTTAAACTGTCACAAGATACCAAAAATAGAATGCCTTTGAGAAATAAAAATTATTGCGTTTTTAGGCATAATGGGCCTTTAATGATAGCAGTCAAGTTTAACTTTTGCCACCAGACACGAGCGGTCACCAGAGTAGGACCACCGCCTTTCTAATGTCTGCTATAACAATCAGATATTCGCCAGTATCAAATTATTTTAGTTTGATTGTGTTAGAAGCTATAAGTTTAACCAACCAGTAATAAGCAATGGATGTCAAGTTCCTTTCTCAAGGAAACAACGGGCTGCCCCCGACGGGATTTGTACCCTCACGGCCAGCAACCCTAAGATTACAAGTCTGGCGCTTTATTTACTGGCAACGCCTGATTACTGATCACATGCAAAATTTCAAAGGAATAAATACAGGAAATATTATCACACATCAAAAATTCAAATTAATATGTTAAAATAATCATAAGAATTCTGTGAAAATGCAAAAAAGAACACGCGACCAATGTGGCCTATTGAGAATTCCTACACATCAAAACTCCAAACCATGTTTAATAGCCGATAAACACAGCTCAGATCGATATTATTTCTTAAATAGAAATGTGTACCTTCCATTGAACACAGGCAAGCATTCAAGTTAAATGATAAAGCTACTATTTATACTAGTTACTACGTCGCATTTTTAATGATCAGGGAATACTAGTATATGAAAATATTTCATATTTTAATGGAATATGATGACACAAGACACAGTTCTTGTATAAACATTACAGTACCTACGAGCACTTTGAACAGTAGCTTTCAACGACCAAAATTTTAACAAAATTATATAATAAGTTGTATACAATATCTTTAAGGGAAACATAAACAAAATCCATGACTGAAAAATCCCTGAAAGTTGAAATCATATACTGTAGTCAAATTGTCATATTATATTGAGATATTATATACTGATATTAACATAACACCTTTGTGAGATATGGATATTAGATGACAGACATGGTCAATCAGATATGTTTCTTAAATGGAAGCAGCATAATAAATTTGCTGACACTTATCAACAAACATAGATATGTAGATAGCCTACCAACTTGTGAAAGTTCTTGTTATAGTAAAATACCTGTTTTATAGCATTTTTTTCAACCAATAACATTGAACAACATAATATCATATACATATACATGTATTGATAAAATATTTTATTCTGGTAAGAAAATTACAAATGATGCACAATGCATGAATTTCATCATTACAACAAATATTATATATATGTATATAAATAGATCAGTTCACCAGGAACTAAAGTCACTCAAACCAGATTTTGCCTTCACTTTTTTCTTTGCAGTTACTGGACTGGAATCAGAATCATCTGTGGTATGTCTTTTCCTGAAATATCAAGATTATTAAATATATAAATGTATTTCTTGTCTAATGTCAATTTGCTATGGTATAAAACAAAAACAAAACAGTAATTATATTCCAATAAATATATTATATTCGCTTACAAAACTGATGTTTAAAAAAAAGACAAGAGGGCCATTATTGCTTTGGATTGCTCATCTGAGATACATAGCTTGAAAAAGGTCACAGTTTATTCTTCTATGCTAAAGTCAGTATTAAGATCTTATAGGGTTTGTCATTGGGTAAGGCCAATAATGACCAAAGGGCCATAATTTATTAAATTTTATAGAGGACGACTAAATGTAGGTAATGCTATATACAATGTACAAATATCTAAGCTCTGGGCATTGTAGTTTCTGGAAAGGAAATTTTTAAATATTTCCCTTTTAAAGTCTATTTCAAGCTCCTACTTATGCATTAGACAAGAACCATTTATGTAACTTTTGTACAGGGTCACCTAAGGATCATTTCTGTGAAGTTTGGTCAAAATCTAAAAAGTTTGTTTAAAAAAACATTCGTTTGACTCCTTACAGTTATCATTTTGGAAACAATATTTTTGGAATATAACTATTTAAATATTTAGTGGTCTAAATCCAAATTAAAACTCAACCTTTACTCTATGTTGTTTCACCTGTGTACCAAGAAAAAATTTCAACATGTGATTTCCTAAAGAATAACTATGTGTGAATCATTTTTCTTTATCTATTTCTTTATTTATTTTTTTGCAAAAACTGAAGGTTGAAGAATTCTGCTGAACATGTAGTTATGTGTCGTAAAGGTAGCAAAATGTAAATAAGAAGTATTTGACTTCAATACAAAAACCTAATTCACTACAACTTAACCAATCTTTTTCTAAAAGCAAACAATGGAAAAAGATTACACAAATCTTTAAGAAAACACAAAATAAAAAAAAAAGGTTTTCCTTTGCTATTTTTAAGGTCTAGTCAAATTTGTTGTTTAGTCCAAATATGAATGATTTCCACAATGTTCAATTTTCAATTTTACATCTAAATGTGTGCACATGGTCAAAATTTCATAGCTGTTAATCAAGTACAAGAAATTAGGTCATTTCATCAAATTGTAGGTCAGCTGTTACATCTAAAACTGTGCACATTGTCTAAATTTCATAGCTGTACATCAAATGACAATAAAGTAGGTAAATTCATCAAAATCTAGTTTAAACTTGACTTTGATGGTCAAAATCATTTTAAGGTTAAGGTCACTTCAACCTTTAGAAGGTCTTGTCCAAAATTTGTTTTGTCCAAGTATTAAGATAGTCCATTTATTAATTACCAAGTTACTGTCAATTATAGCAAAAAAAAAAAAAACAGTAAAAATTCAATAATCTATCCTTCAAGGTCAAGGTCATAAATGAACTAAGGTCAATTTGAGTTTAATACTTGAAGGTCTTATCCTATAGAATGTTGTGTCTTAATATAAAGTAAATCCATTCATTAATAACAAAGTGATAGCCAGTCACAGCAAAAAAAATCAATAATTTGATCTTCAAAGTCAAAGTAATTTATGAGTGAAGGTCAAAGTATGTCTGGTTAACATGAATGTCTATCCTAAAAGGTTGTTATGTTTAAGTTTGAAGACAATCCATTCATAAAAAGTTATAGCCACTAATAGCAAAAATCAAGCTTAATTTAGACATTTGACCTTGAAGGTCAAGGTCATTTATGAATAAAGGTAAAGTTTGTCTGGTTCACTTGCAGGTATTGTCCCAAGGGTTGTTGTGGCCAAGCATGAAGACAATACACTGTGACCTTAAAAAGTTATGATCAACATTAAAGTTTTGAGGGAGGCAACTGCAACAGGAACGCCTACATGTCTTTCAAAGAAAGTCAAGAAAAAGAGGCCATATCTCTGTGAAAAATTCTGGTCTGATACCAAATTCAAACTTGACCTGTATTTTATGATGTTACATCTGTGCTCCAAAAATTATGAAAATCCATTGTCTTCAAAAATTAATAATTCTGGAAACAATGTATTTTTTATTAAGTTAGGAGAAACAAGGGCAAAATTGTCGCAAAATAAGCCCTTTACAAAAGCTTTTGACAGAGATGTGGGCATTATAGATATGCATATAGGAAATATGCTCTGGGCAATATCTGGATATTTTATCATCTTGACCTTGAGCTTGCAAATATTAACCGGAAAATTACACGTGTCACACTTGTAGTCATGATAGTTATCATTTGTGTTACAATCCATCAATAAATGATGACTAAATTGTCCAAACTTTGACCTCTATATGTGACCTTGGCTTTGGTATCAGGGACCTGGATTATGTGCCCAATAAGCCTCACAATGGTGAACATTTGTGCCAAGTTACATTAAAATCCCCCTATGAATGTAGAAGTTTGGCTCAGAACAAGCTTTAAGTGTGACCTTAGACCTAGTGACACTGCTTCACATAGTGGTGAACATTTCTATGCCTGGAGGAGATATGCTCTGGACAAAATTTCTATACTTTATCATCTTTAGTGACCTTGACCTTGCATATATTAACCTAAATTACATTTTTCACACCAAAAGTTATGATAATGACCATTTGTGTTCAATTCCCCAATAAATGATTACTAAATGGTCTTAATACACGTTTCCATACTTTTATCTGAACTTTGTTTCCTATGTCTGACCTTGGCCTGCCCGTCCGCCCGCCAGGAGGGAAACTATAATACAACCTGTTTTTCAAACTGGTGTAAAAAAAGGGGCAATAACTTTATGGCTGAAGCAAAATTCAAATGTGACCTGTATTTTATGATTTGCATCTGTGCACCGATAATCATTAGAATCCATTTCTTCCTTCAAGAGTTATCATCTGGAAACCATGAAGTGGACCAACCAAACAACAAACTAACTCCTATTTACCCACATAAACTTCATTTGAGGGGGTATAGTCAGCTATTTTCACTTGTCTTTTTTTCTTTCTTTTTTAAAAATCATTAAACTTACAATGTGGTTGGATTAATATATTTGCCAACACCTGACGTAAATGACTTTGGCACAAAACTGGGCTCCTCCTTTTTACTCTTGGGCTTCTTTCTGTCGGCATCTTCTTGTGCCTGTCGACTTAACTCCTCTTCTCTCTCCTTAGCCAACTGAAATAATTATAATCACAGTTACATAAGTTGATCAATGTTATATTTGGTAGTTGTAATTGACTTATTTTCTATACTAAGACGACTGTCAATAAACTACTTAATCGCTGCAAAAAGCATCATTATTTGTGGGGCACTGTCATTGAGCTAGGTCATAATACATGCACATACAGAGTTTTTAAATTTTGTCTGGTTGGGTTTTATGTTGCACCAACACTGTATAGGGCATATGACGACTTTCCGACTTCTGGTGATGGAAGACCTGACTGGACCTCCGTGCATTATTTCAGGCACAAAAGGTCACCTGGGCAGAACCACATCAAAAGTCCCTTGCAGGAATAAAACCCACAGTAGTGAGGGGCAAATGGTTTGAAGTAAATGACCTCAACAACTACGCCACAGACTATTGCCCCTACGATGTACAGGCTAGGCTGGCTGTATACTGGTTGCAAAGGCTAATCAGTTATGATTCTCCCAGAACACCTGCTGCTATTCTTCTGTGAAAACTATTACATCAGAACTTATAATACTGCATGTTTGTAACATTGCTTTTCCAATCAACCATTTATATAGGGCCATATAACCTGTCAAAAAAAAAAAATATTACCTCTTCATCGACCTCTTCATAGGGGTTAACAAACACAGCACATCCTTCAATCTTTATCTCTTTCTGTAACAGTCAAACATTAAAATCATCATACAGTCATAAATAACAAAGAAATGCTTTGCTTGTGATATTATTATTTCATTAACTCAATAACCATACTACAAAAATATTTTGAAATTTGTTCAATAAAATATGACATGAAGTACGTATGATACTTAAATCAAATATGGTAAATATAAAATTAAGTAAATATCTTAATATTATGAGGGGTGTTCATTTAATAATGAAAACAGTCTTGTAAATACGAAACCAAGTCAGGTATATTAACTAGAAATGTATCATCATGCCACGGATGCCCCCGCATGCAGCCAAAATTTCAGATGTTATAATATTTAGTTCCAAATTTGTTTGCACAAATTATTGTTTTCATTTTAAGTTCAAAGCCCTTAAAACTTTTCAATGTTAACACAAACCATTTTCATACAATGTTCAAGGCACTGAAATTATTAACCTTTTGAAAATAGCATATTTCATATTTGTAGCCAAAATAATGGCTACATACATTTCCACAAAAGTATGAGTGCTGAAACTGAAAGTTCAAAATTTTTCCAATATTCAAGAAAGATAAGTTTGTCCAAAATCATTGAACCACGACCAAATTCAAACTTAAACTGCTTATTCCTAAGATGTATCTATATTATTTTCAATACTGTTCCCTGGCCGGGCTGAAAAGTTGCGATTTGCAAAGCAGATTGACTTATGCATGCATAACTTTAAGGACATTGTGTACTATGGCTTAGCTAAGAGTTAATCCATTTTCCGGAAAACCATCAAACAGCAAACAAATATGTCGTATATCAAACAAAAACTTCAAAACAACAACAACAACAAGAGAAACAACAGAGACATACAACAGGTTTGTCCTTCTTGTCCACATCTATCTTCTCTACAGCATCTAGAGTTTCTAAGCCACCAACTACTCTGTAACAACAAATTTCAAACTCATAAATGGATAAAGTTATACTGAGAGTCTGGGCAGGCTAATGTGAATGTATATAATTATAACTATTATCTCACTGAATGATATTTGACAAGAATATGCTGAAATACTTTCCATTTATTCATCAGAAATCAAATTGAAAAGCCATTTACTTTTACAATTAATTTTATGTTAACAATGAACTTAAACATTTTTTTTTTCACCTCTTGTATATTATAATGTTCAGTTTTTTTTTTCAGAAAAAAAAAACTCTATTTCAGCCCCGTCATGACAAAACCAACATAATGGGTTTGCGACCAGCATGGATCCAAACCAGCCTGCGCATCCGCGCAGTCTGATCAGGATCCATGCTGTTCACTTACAAACCCTATAGCAAGTAGAGAAACTGATAGCGAACAGCATGGATCCTGATCAGACTGCGCGGCTGGTCTGGATCCATGCTGGTCGCAAACGCACTATGTTGGTTTTGTCATGAAGCGGCTCATTTTATTCTAGTGTTATATTTCAATATGCGATCTTACTCATTGTATAAATCTGCAATAGTAACAAAAACTAACCTTCCAAACACAGTATGTTTCCCATCCAAATGTTTAGCAGATCTAAATGTTAAGAAGCTGTAATAGAAGAATACATCAGTCTACTTATAATGGACACTTTCTATCTCTCAACATTAAATATACACTGTAACATGACCCTGACAAGTGCAATAAACTAACTGCTATAGCTACTTTCAAAAGTGATCTGGTGCACATTAACCAAATTAATATGTGACAGCGATTAGGTATTCTAAATGTTATGTAATGGGGGTAAATAGATGTCTGTTACTCAGATAATCCATTTAAAGAATTAACATTCAAAGAGTACCCTTAAAGTAATAAATGCACAATGTATAGTATATACAAATACTCAACTCAACTTTTACATGTGTAACTTTTAAAGTGTCATGCTCCAAAATATTTTAGAAAATAAAACTTAAAAAAATGTATTTTTAGATTTTAAGAAAAGTAAAATTCAAGATACAAGTAATAATGTTATGTGTGATTAATGGCTGATATCACAATATTTCTACTGTGTGACTAACACAGTAAGGGCTTTTTTGGCATATTCTGACATCTATTTTGACATTGGCATGGATTGTAAGTGTTGTTTGCAATGTGTAAATTACTTTCAACACTATTTTACTTTTAAGAATACTAGTATTTTCAATTTTTTTATGAAAATTAGAATGAATCTGGTGGCCTGCTGCTTTCAGAACAACTTACATGTACAAAGTAAAAAAGTTTCTACTCAGCTTGAAAAACAAAGTAAGTAAATCAGTTAAATCAGTAAGCCACAAATAGCAGCCCTATCTAAAATCTGAAATGAGTAATAAAATCATGATGAAACTTTTCTGAAATTTTACCACTTGACATTGAATGACATTGTTATTTTAGGATCCATGCTCATACTTAAATAACTCAACTTAAACTCCCAGCAAATTGTTATCTTAAAATAAGGCCGTAGTTTAAAGAAGAATGATGTAACAGCTAAGGATACAATTGTCCACACACAGACACACTGAAAATGAACATTAACCCCCTCAAACTCCTATTTATTGATAGATACAAGGAAATAAAAAGCTTGGTTATGCACATTTCTCACATTTTTTTCCATCACCTCAAAAACCTAGGCTATTAACCATATACCAGTATCAAATGTAGAACATACAGAATGTGTGCCATGGGTTCTAACGATGTCTTTTCAAATGATCGACCGCTGTTTTATGCAAAGTGATGAATATACTTACAACTGAGATTTGTTCGTGTTTGGTCCTGAGTTAGCCATACTGAGAATACCTCGTCCTGCGTGTGTAAGATTGGGTTTAAACTCGTCCTTAAAACTACCTCCCCAACATGATTCTCCACCTATATTCAAACATTACTAACATTATTGCTGTAGAAATACTAGTAAACTTAATACTACTGGTACTTTAAAGGAACTCCACTGAGGTTCAAAAGCCTAAAAACATAAAATCCTAATTTCTTAAATAGATCAGCTGGGGCACTTAAAACAGAAGTAAATTTTGTATACATGTATATGCAAATGATAGTTAAGAAACATAAATTATAAATAGTATTTTTGCGCCCTTCTTAGCTCGATTCCAGTGAAAAGAGCTGTAACCTTTTCAATTTTGGGTCATTTTTCACAGTTAGAATCATTATTCTTGAAAAACGGAATGAGAGAACGATCTGAAATTCTGCGCGTGAGTTATTGGTCTACATCTACATCAAATAGAACATTAATCTCCAAAAATTATTTTGAGGCCCATCATGTCAAAAATCCTCAGTGGAGTCTCTTTAAGGTTGATATAAAAATATCAGATTTATGGAAATTGACTCCAGTAAATGAAGATTGAAATGAATTGTTTAAAACAAATAGTACCAAGAGTATAACATACCTGTGCCAGTACCTGTAGGGTCCCCTCCTTGGATCTGCAAAACAAAATCTTCTTTTACACTTCCTTCTATAGGAAAATTATTCAAAAAATGTACTGGTACACCTGAACTATCATATTTTGTTATTGTGGCTCTATTACTCTCCCAGACATCAAAAATATACATTTTTTACAAGTAGTTAAAACCTTATGACACTGGAAATTTATTTTTTCAATATAATTTCCTTGAATGAAGCCTAGAAACACTTCCTTTAAGTGACATTATAATGTTTGCAAGATATTACATGACAATATCGTCAAAAAGAAGAAAAACTCCCATGTTCTTTATAGAATAGTTTTATCCATGAAGCGTATACAGAAATTCTTCATATTTTTAATTTCGCCATCAAAGTTTTTATATTTAACTAAAATAATAAAAATAATATCATATTATATAGCAATAAACAAAATATGAGTAACAATTTACCATGAAATTTCTGATAAGCCTATGGAACACTGTATCATTGTAATATCCCTTCTTACATAACTTGATAAAATTCTCACAAGTCTTTGGCACCTAGAATATTTGAATATAAAATAAGAGTGCATCAAACATGATAGCTGTGGAAAAGAAAAGTTCAAAATGTTTGCTCCATGCAACTGTTTATGTACTGACAGTTTTTATGTACATGTATATTTTTACTTCTAGATTATATTTCTGCCAAAATTTTCTTTCGTTTGTTACATATGCTATTCTTCACGTTCAAGTAAAGTTCTATTACACTAAAATTACATTTCATATCACTATGAAATTATCAGATATCCTTCACTGTAATATAACCATAATCTACTAAAAAGTAATTTATAAAGAACCATAATCTACTGAAAAGTAAGTTATTTATAACCATAACCTACAGAAAAGCAAGTTACATATAACCATAATTTACAGTAAAGTAAGTAACAAACAACCATAATTTACAGAAAAGTAAGTTATATATTGCCATAATCTAAAGAGAAGTAAGTTATATATCACAATAATCTACAATAAACTAAGTTATATATCATCAGCATCTACAGAAAAGTAAGTTATATATCATCATAATCTACAGAAAACTAAGTTATGTATCACAATAATCTACAGAAAAGTAAGTTATATATTGCCATAATCTGAAGAAAAGTAAGTTATATATCACAATAATCTACAGAAAAGTAAGTTATATATCATCATAATCTACAGAAAACTAAGTTATATATCACAATTATCTACAGAAAAGTAAGTTATATATTGCCATAATCTAAAGAAAAGTAAGTTATATATCACAATAATCTACAGAAAAGTAAGTTATATATCATCATAATCTACAGAAACTAAGTTATATATCACAATTATCTACAGAAAAGTAAGTTATATATTGCCATAATCTAAAGAAAAGTAAGTTATATATCACAATAATCTACAGAAACTAAGTTATATATCACAATAATCTCAAAAAAAGTAAGTTATATATCATCATAATCTACAGAAAACTAAGTTATATATCACAATAATCTACAGAAAAGTAAGTTAATTATATATTGCCATAATCTACAGAAAACTAAGTTATATATCACAATTATCTACAGAAAAGTAAGTTATATATCATCATAATCTACAGAAAACTAAGTTATATATCACAATAATCTACAGACAAGAGGGCCATGATGGCCCTGAAGTCGCTCACCTGTATATAGGCCTCCGGATCTGGGCCAGTTTAAACCCCAGGGCTTTTATTTGAACAAACTTGGTAGACACCCATTAGAAGATGTTTCATGCTAAACATCTAAGGTCTAGCTGGTCAGGTTTTTTCTTTACACATATAGTTAAAAACAATGACACAACTGGGGCAGGGCCAGTTTTGACCCAAGGGCTTTTATTTGAACAATCTTTGTAGACACTTACTAGAAAATGTTTCATGCTTAATATCTAAACTCTAGCTATTCGGGTTTTTTCAAAGAAGATTTTTAAGTTTTTGCTATACACATATAAGGAAAATCAATGTCACCGGGGCTGGGCCAATTTTGACCCCAGGGCTTTTATTTGAACAAACTTTGTAGACACTCACTAGAAGATGCTTCGTGCTTAATATCTTAACTCTAGCTATTTGAGTTTTTTCAAAGAAGATTTTTAAGTTTTTGTTATACACATATAAGGAAAATGAATGACCCCCTGAGCGGGGCCAATTTTGACCCCAGGGCTTTTATTACAACAAACTTGGTAGACACTCACTAGAAGATGTGTCAAGCTTAGTATCTAAACTCGAGCTATTTGTTTTTTTCAAAGAAGATTTTTAAGTTTTTGCTATACACATATAAGGAAAATCAATGACCCCCTGGGGCGGGGCCAATTTTGACCCCAGGGCTTTTATTTGAACAAACTTGGAAGACACCCATTAGAGGATGTTTCATGCTAAATATCTTAGCTATAGGTCTTTGGGTTCTTTTAAAGAAGATTTTTAAGGTTTTACTATATGCATATAGGGAAAATCAATGACCCCCTGGGGCGGGGCCAATTTTGACCCCAGGGCTTTTATTTGTACAAACTTGGTAGACACTCACTAGAAGATGTTTCATGCCATATATCTAAGCTCTAGTTCATTGGATTTTTTAGAAGAAGATATTTAAAGTTTGTTCTTTTGGTTGCCATGGCAACCAGAGTTCTGCATGGAATTAAATTCTTTGAACAATTTTCAAAGGTGACCACCAAAGGCACATTCATGTGAAGTTTGGATGAAATTGGCTTAGTGGTTTATGAGGAGATGTCATTTAAAGTAAAAGTTTACGGATGGGCGGATGACGGACGCCGGACGAAAAGCGATCACAAAAGCTCACCCTGTCACTTTGTGACAGGTGAGCTAAAAAGTAAGTTATATATCATCATAATCTACAGAAAACTAAGTTATATATCACAATAATCTGTTTGTTTGTTTGTTTGTTTCATTTTACGCCTTTTCCCAACAGTATTTCAGTCATATAGGCGGGTAGTTTCCTAACCATCGTTCCTAGAGAGTTACACCAGTACTAGACTACCTTTTTCCGCGCTAAAAAACCAAAGCATCTCCCGGGGTCACCATAATCTACACAAAAGTAAGTTATATATATAATCTACAGAAAGCAAGTGAAATATAACTATAATCTACTGTAAGTTAATATATAACAATAATCTACAGAAAAGTTAGTTATAAGATAATCTCACCATATCACAGTGAAGCTCAATGTTGAGTTGCCCGTAGTTTGTAACAATACGTACATATCCTTTCTTCTTTAATCTCCCATACCTTATAATATCCTCATCAATGATAGCTGCAGTCATAAAGTTTATTCTGATTAAAAATGTACGTGGCAGTCTATTTATTGTTGAAATATCTGTATCTTGGACAAAAACTTATACCAAAGTACCTTATTGAAAAATTGTTAAAAGTAAGTGGCAAATAAACAAGAGCTGTCGGTAGGACAGCACGCTCGACTATTCTATGTGCTTGATAGTATGTCCCTCCAATTATGACCCTAAGTGCATGTGTAAAGTTTCAAGTAAATATCTTTGAAGACCTTTAACCTTTAACCAAAATTTCTAAGTTTCAAAGGGGCAAATAATTCTGCAAATATTGCAGGCAGAGTTGTGCAATTTTGCAAACTGATGTACATTGTTACTATAAAAAAGTATTTTAAATTTCAATTGAATATCTCAAGCAATGATTGAGATATTTGAATTTACAAAAAAACTTTAACCAAAATTTTTAAGTTCCAAAGGGGCATAATTCTGTCAATATTGTAGGCATAGTTATCCAACTTGTCAATCTGATGTACCTTGTTACTACAAATATGTATTGTAAGTTTCAATTGAATATCTCAAGCAATAATTGAGATATTTGACTTTACAAAAAACTTTAACCAAAAGATCTAAGTTAAAAAGGGGCATAATTCTGTCAATATTGAAGGCAGAGTTATCCGACTTGTCAATCTGATGTACCTTGTTACTATAAATGAGTATTGTAAGTTTCAATTGAATATCTCAAGTAATAATTGAGATATTTGACTTTACAAAAAACTTTAACCAACGCAGACGCCGACGCGGACGCTGACGCCGACGCCGGGGCGACTACAATAGCTCTCATATTCTTCGAATTTTCGAGCTAAAAATCATTGCTAAACCTACTAAAAGAAGCAGTCTAATATTTTGTTTGGGAACATTATATATTACCCTGGTTTCTAATAATTCAAGTGAGGCTGACACTAAAAATGAAAGCAACATGACAATACAGTGAGTTAAAACTACAAGCCTCCAGATGAGCCAAAATATTTCAAGTAAATGTTTTATTCTGCACAATTCATCACCTTCTTTCTACTGTGTTACTCACACAGTAAGGGCTTTTGCTTATATTGACCTCTTTCTTGTAATTATGTGGATTAAAAGTGCTATTTGCAATGACAATATTCCTTTATAACTTGATAATATTTTACATGTTAAGACATTTTAAAATTGTTCATGAAAATCAGCCTGAATCTGGAGGCATGCTGCTTTTAAGCTTTATGCCATTTACAGTATTTTGAAATCTTTTTTATAAGAATATATGCATTATAATATTTCATCAAGCATACAACAGCACAATAAAACTTTTAGATAATTTCAAACATACCAGCATGATGTTCTGTCTCTGGAACCATGGCTGTTGAGGTGAATGATGCTGCAACTGCTCCTGTGGAGTAATGAGCCTACAATGAGAGGCAAAACTGATCATTTAGCTTACAATGAGAGGCAAAACTGATCATTTAGCTTATAATGAGAGGCAAAACTGATCATTTAGCTTATAATGAGAGGCAAAACTGATCATTTAGCTTACAATGAGAGGCAAAACTGATCATTTAGCTTACAATGAGAGGCAAAACTGATCATTTAGCTTACAATGAGAGGCAAAACTGATCATTTAGCTTACAATGAGAGGGAAAACTGATTGTTTAGCTTACAATGAAAGGCAAAACTGATCATATTATAACTTACAATGAGAGGGAAAACTGATTGTTTAGCTTACAATGAGAGGCAAAACTGATCATTAAGCTTACAACAAAAGCCAAAACTGATCATTAAGCTTACAACGAAAGGCAAAACTGATCATTAAGCTTACAGCGAAATGCAAAACTGATCATTAGGCTTACAACAAAAGGCAGAACCAATCATTTAGCTTACAACAAAAGGCAAAAACGATCATTTCAATTTAACATGAAATCAGTCAAAACTGATTATTTATATCTTTAATAGTTTCAGAGATATGCAAACTTGCATGTTAAACTTAACCAAGAAAAGGAGATTTTTTTAAGTACATGTACAAAAGGGAGCATAATTCAGTCAAAATACATGATAGAGTAATGAATCTTGAGATGTGACCTTCAATTATGACCCTAAGTACATGTCTAAAGATTCAAGAAAATATCTTTGCTTTGAAGACCTTTAACCTTTAACCAAAATTTCTAAGTTTCAAAGGAGCAGATAATTCTACAAATATTGCAGGCAGAGATATGCAACTTTGCAAACTGATGTACATTGTTAATATAAATAAGTATTGTAAATTTCAGTTAAATGTCTCAAGCAATAATTGAGATATTTTACTTTACAAAAAACTTTAACCAAAATTTCTAAGTTAAAAAGGGGCATAATTCTGTAAATATTGTAGGCAGAGTTATCCAACTTGTCAATCTGATGTACATTGTTACTATAAATAAGTATTGTAAGTTTCAATTGAATATCTCAACCAATTATTGAGATATTTGACTTTACAAAAAACTTTAGCCGAACTTTCTTCGAATAGTCGAGCTAAAAACGAAATTTCATTACGAGGTCCTGCAATATTCACATAAAAAAAGATGAAAAAAATCAGCAGTCTTAAACATCTTGCCATGAAGGCCATACTCGTAGCTTATAAATTAATTTAAATGGACAGGTAAATATCTTAACAAATTCTGTGTAAGGTTAAATTCTCTTAATTGTAAACAATACGGATTTATCCTACAACATTCAGATATAGAATATAGTGTATATAAACATACAGAATTAAATCTGTCAGCTTTTCTCTTGATCTCTGGTTTCTTTTCCTGAAGAGAAAAAAATAAACAAAATATGATATACATGTATTGATCTAAACAATGAGAGAAATCAGGCAGTATAAACTGTCTTATAAACTTCATTTGAGTTTAAAATTACCCTATATACATGTATAAATTGATATTTTAATGTTAGTTGGGTTTTTTTCATGCCTTTCATTAGACAGTGAAATTATACTTCTATAATTTCATTGTAGGGAAACTACATGTATATTTGAGTGCAGATGAAAAGAATAAATCATAAATGAGTGAAAATTTCGTCAATTAAATGTATACTGGTTGGAGAGATAACTCCGACACTAAATCACATATTTTTTGCAATATTTTAATTATCTTCCAGTATATTTTAAATATTGAACCACCTAAACAAAGTTCAGTTCAAAGACTTTACATTACACCACAAAAACTATGTATGAAAATGGAATCTGGTACTTCTTTAAGGTCTTGAATGAGGTAAACAAAACATGGTCTTTTTACCCCACAACAGTAGATAAAGTCGACACTTAAATTTTTAAGTAAACAAGATATGTTTGTAAAACATGTATGCCCCCTATCAGCAGCCAATTAGTCATGTGATAATGTTATTATGCATGACTTCTGACCCAGTGATCAAACAATTAATAAGGGTTATAAAGTATCTACTGGTCATTACCTTGACCTTTGAACCCTTGACCCAAAACTCAATAGGGGTCATCTGCTGGTCACGACCAATCATCATACAAAGTTTGAAGTTCCTAGGCCTAGGCGTTTTTAGTAAATTGATCAAAAACCGTTTTTACCTACAAGGTCAATGTGACCTTGACCTTTGACCCCTTGACCCCAAAATCAATAGGGGTCATCTGCTGGTCATGACCAATCACCATGCCAAGTTTGAAGTTCCTAGGCCTAAGGGTTCTCTTATTATTGATCGGAAACCGTTTTAACATACAAGGTCAATGTGACCTTGACCTTTGACCCCAAAATCAATAGAGGTCATCTGCTGGTCATGACCAATCACCATGCCAAGTTTGAAGTTCCTAGGCCGAAGCGTTCTTTAGTTATTGATCAAAAACCGTTTTTACTTACAAGGTCATTGTGACCTTGACCTTTGACCCCTTGATCCCAAAATCAATAGGAGTAATCTGCTGGTCATTGACAAATCACCATACCAAGTTTGAAGTTCCTAGGCCTATAGCGTTCTTGAGTTATTGATCAGAAACCGTTTTTTACTTACAAGGTCAAATGTGACCTTGACCTTTGACCCCTTCACCTAAAACTCAATAGGGGTCATCTCCTGGTCATGACCAAAATCACAATACCAAAGTTTGAAGTTCCTAGGGCATAAGGGTTCTTAAGTTATTGATCGGAAAGCATTTTTACCTACAAGGTCAATGTGACCTTGCCCTTTAACCCCTTAACCCCAAAATCAATAGGGGTCATCTGCTGGTCATGACCAATCACCATACCAAGTTTGAAGTTCATAGGCCTAAGGGTTCTTTTGTTATTGATCAGAAACCGTTTTTACCTACAACGTCAATGTGACCTTGACCTTTGACCCCTTGACCCCAAAATCAATAGGGGTCATCTACTGATCATGACCAATCACCATACTAAGTTTGAAGTTCCTAGGCCTAAGCGTTCTTGAGTTATTGATCAGAAACCGTTTTTACTTACAAGGTCAATGTGACCTTGACCTTTGACCCCTTCATCTAAAACTCAATAGGGGTCATCTCCTGGTCATGACCAATCACAATACCAAGTTTGAAGTTCCTAGGCATAAGGGTTCTTAAGTTATTGATCGGAAAGCATTTTTACCTACAAGGTCAATGTGACCTTGCCCTTTAACCCCTTAACCCCAAAATCAATAGGGGTCATCTGCTGGTCATGACCAATCACCATACCAAGTTTGAAGTTCATAGGCCTAAGGGTTCTTTTGTTATTGATCAGAAACCGTTTTTACCTACAACGTCAAATGTGACCTTGACCTTGACCCCTTGACCCCAAAATCGATAGGGGTCATTTACTGATCATGACCAATCACCATACCAAGTTTGAAGTTCCTAGGCCTTAAGGTTCTTTAGTTATTGATCGGAAACCGTTTTTACCTACAAGGTCAATGTGACCTTGACCTTTGACCCCTTGACCCCAAAATCAATAGGGGTCATCTACTGATCATGACCAATCACCATACCAAGTTTGAAGTTCCTAGGCCTTAAGGTTCTTTAGTTATTGATCGGAAACCGTTTTTGCTTTCAAGGTCAATGTGACCTTGACCTTTGACCCCTTGACCCCAAAATCAATAGGGGTCATCTACTGGTCATGACCAATCACCATACCAAGTTTGAAGTTCCTAGGCCTTAAGGTTCTTTAGTTATTGATCGGAAACCGTTTTTGCTTTCAAGGTCAATGTGACCTTGATCTTTGACCCCTTGACCCCAAAATCAATAGGGGTCATCTACTGATCATGACCAATCACCATACCAAGTTTGAAGTTCCTAGGCCTAAGGGTTCTTTAGTTATCACTCAGAAACCATTTGGTCTACGGACCGACGGACCAACAGACCGACGGACCGACAAGTGCAAAGCAATATACCCCCTTTTCTTTGAAATGGGGGCATAAAAATGACTGTAAAATCAGCATCAATAATTTATTTTTACATCTTATATGGTTTATCTATTTTTTGTAAATATTTAAACAATTTTTCAAAAATCTTTCCAAAGTCAGTGGCCTGTGGTCAATACATTTCTAACTACCTTACTGTAATTTAGTAAAAAGAACGTTTTGAAGCAGTTTTTGCCTACAAAAAGTTTAAGTTATTTGAAAAACATTAAAAAGTCTACCAAATTATAACAAATCATCACATTCTGTCCTGTTCCTATACTGTTAGGTGAGCATGTGCTTATTTGTTGAAAAACAAAGCTAAAACAATTATATTTATCAAGTGTCGGGGTTATCTATGCGTGGGAGTTATCTCTCCGACCAGTATACATATTTGCACAATGCATGTAAAATTAAAACAAAATTCAATAAAATCTACAGAATTATTTATCAAATTAATGAACATTGCGATGCCATGATTTGATGACATCTTGAAAAGAGCTTGTGATATCACATGGCATAAACCAGTTAAATTGACATAGATCCATGAAATATCTTCGGACAAAACATACATTATTAAGTTCAACATCGTAACTCATAGCATACATACATTGTAGCGGAAACATTGTGTTTCAGGCTATATATACCAGCAGTTTATAATACTGTATAATTATTACAACGTTTTTCATTGGATAATAGTGAGGCACTATATAAACTATATACATGGCTGTTGTCAATTTATGAAATAATTTTGGTTGTTTTGCAAATAAAGAAATATTGCTGTATTGCAAATTTGTTATAAAGATGTTGGATGTGTTATATGGCTGATTATAAACTGTTGTTATATTGTAACCCTCACCTAACAGCTCCGGTTATATAAACTTAGAATCATTTATACTGAGTTATATAACCTGTCAGACATATTTATAACTAATATTATAATACTGCACATTTGTAATGTCACTTTTCATTGTCTAATCATAACGTTTATATAGTTACATATACACAGCCACAGTCAATTTATGAAGAAATCTCATTTTTTTTACAAATTTGTTATAAAGATTCTTGACAGGTTATATGGCCCTATATAAACAGTTGTTTGCATAGTGGCTCAGACTATATATGCATAGGGCCATATAACCTTTTAGATATCTTTACAAGAAATAAAATACCGGGGCCTGATATTCCTTCTCTAGTGTCTCTAGGATATCTTGTGTCTCAGCGTTCACGGTCTTCAGTTTACTTGTACTGCCTCTGCTACCCCCATCTTCATCTATAACATGCAAAATAAATACAATCCTTATTTATCTATGTATATCAAAGTTAAAACAAGATCTTCAAAAAAAAAAAAAGGAAAACAAAAACAAATTTAAAACAAAACAAGAGGTGTCGGTAGGACAGTCTGCTCACTATTTTCAGTGCTTGATAGCAAAACAACAGCCTGAAGAATTTTCTAAGTTCAAAAACAGATTTTTTTTGGTCAAGATCCATGTTAGAGTTATGGGCCTTGGACCTCCTAATATGCTCTCAAATACATGTCACCCATTCACTTCAGTTGTTTTGGAGATACATAGAATGATACTAACTAAACTGAAATGTGACACTGACGTGAGTACAATAGCTCTCCCTATTCTTTGAATAGTTAAGCTAATAATGCAGTGTTTCATGTAGTTTGGGGCTGAAATAGAACCCCTTATACAAAGCCGAAAGGTATTCCTTTTTTCACAATTGTTTAAAGAAAGTTCACAACTGTCAAATTGTAGTTACTGACAAAATTGTTTATGACTTAAAAAATGAGAAACACAGGTTTTTTTTATATAAACAATGATACTTTATTAATATTAAAGAAAGCATGACATAAACTTTTTTTACCATTTACTAGCTAGATCTTAACAGCATAAAGTCCCATTCTCAAAAGACTGGGGGAAAAACACTGCAGTGCTCAATTTAATGAAATTCTTATATTATTACAGAATTTTTATATGATTTTTCTTTTTTTCCTTAAACTACAATTCAATATACAAAGCAAGAAACATCTCAATGGTTTTGAACTTTTCTTTATTTCATTCATAAATTTCAATACCTCACAGAAGATAAATACATTTATTTACTCTACCTTCTTCTCCCGCCTTTAAATTGTTTTTCACATAATAAAACTTCTGTATGTTGAATTTATCAAGATTTGATGGGTCCTGAAAGTGATGAAAAACTTAAATTTAGAATGCACTTACAACTAGGAGCTTCTACAATAAGCATAGAGTCACCATAGTGCAGTAACAGGTTAAGTCCTTCTAAATTTAATGGGAGTTAACCAGTTATTGCACAAAGGTGACAAAATTATGAACATTTCCATATTAATTCTAGGCACTCTAACAATAAATATACTAACATTTCTCTGTGACCATGATACATTTCAAGAAAATACTTTAAAGGAACTTCACTGAGGGTTTTTGACATAATTGACTGGAAATAATTTTTTTCCAAATTTATATATACATTTAATATAGGTCTGGCCCAATAACTAGGGTACAAAATTTCAGAGCATTTGCATTTTCCCTTTTTCCAGAAGAATCATTTTTATTGTGCAAAATGTCTCAAAAACTGAACAAGTGTCTGAATGAACTTGAACTGGCTTAAGAAAAGCATCGTTTTAAATTAACTTCAATTTATTTCAAGGTATCTTTCTTAATAATCTTTTGCATTTTTTTCATTTTAAGTGCCCAAGTTGATCTCAGATGACAGAATTTCAAATTTTATGTTTTTAACGCTTTAAGACCTCATTTGAACCCCTGTAAGACACTGTCCATGATTATATTTTGCATTGTTTCCTAGAGACACTTAAGGCATGTCAACTGATAATTTTTGTTTACATTGAGCTGATTAGACTTTGGCATCCGAGCAGATTTTAAAACATGTATGTATTTGATAAGTGACTATAAACAAAAAGTTATTACTGTTATCCAGATTTTGTCACAAGTATAATTTTTGTTACCTTCACACATTTTTATGAATTTTTCCCTAGTTAATTCAACATTGCTACTTGTTTAACTTTGCTTACCTGTATTGTAATAAGATCTTTTCTAATAAATGGTTCATCAGTAATCAAATCTCTCCAGAAGTTTGCCTTGATATTTAACCTCTCTATAGCCTAGAACAGATTCACAAAAACCATAAAAGAACCTAATCTATCAAATTTAGAGCACAAAGACTGAAATTCTGTGAAATGTTTTGATACTATACAATATGTCAATAAGGAACGTCTCTGCTGCAAAGTATTTACACATAAAACAACCTGACAATTATAACTCATATAAGGATTAATAAGCCAAAAGAAACACCATTTGCTACATGTTATTGCTGGGTTTTTAGTCATGCAAATAATGTAGGTGTTATTGTGTAGTTTCTTGCTTTACAAATGGATGGAGACCAGAGGTGCCTGTCAGGGCATTATTTCAGACATAGTAAGTTAGCTCGATAGAATCACTGAAATTCAACATTCTGGTATTAAGCATAAAGACAAAATTTATCTTAGCATCAATTAGAACCACTAACATTCAGTATGTTTGAGTTAAATGGATCTGTTTCAAACACAGTCTAAATTTATACTTCATGTTTTCATATTTGTTCAAAATTTACTAAATATTAAATATCCACAAAAAATTATTTCAATGTAAAGTTCTGATTAAACCTGTGTAAATTATTAATTTTTTTTTCAGATTCTACAATATCCCCAGTAAACAATGCCATAATAGTTCATTGACAAACTTTCATTGGAAGTTATATACATGTACATAAACATACCTCATAAGCAAACACATTCCCTGTAGGTCGGACGGCTACTATATGTGTATTTTCATTGAAAACTTTGAATGTCACCGGGCAGTGATACTTCCCTACAAAATAGATTTAGACAGAAATCATGTAAATTTCAAGTCTAGGAAGCCAGGGTGAATTATTGATTTGTAAATGTAAACAATATATATGACAAACACATCCTTGTAATCTCAGTAATCTGTAATATATTGTACTACATACATTTCTTAATTTGACAAAACCCTGTCCATAACATTAGGATTTCTATACAGTCCTACCCATTATGATGTATACAAAAGTAAGCCCAGCCCATTATTATGTATAATAAATTAAGCCTTGCCAATCATGATGTATATTAAATTAAGCCATCCCAATCATTATGTATTTTAAATTAAGTCCTGCCCATCATTATGTTTATTAAATTAAACCCTGTCACTATGATGTATATTAAATAAAGCCCTGCCCATAATTATGTATATTAAATTATGCCCTGCCAATTTATATATATATTAAATTAAGCTCTGCCCCATTATGATCAGATGTATTTTAAATTGTGTCATATTCCTAATGATGGGACATATTTAACAGAGATGCTTGTTCTCACAGTATCCAAAGATATTTCACAACAAAAACTATCACAACCTAAACTGAAAAATTCAAATTTATTTTGTATATTAAATACATTTCCTTTTTTAAGTATGAATAAATAAAGTTATATGATTAAACAAAAGCCTTGTATATTAAACACATTTACTTTCCTTTTTTAAGTATGAATAAATAAATTTATATGATTAAACAAAAGCCTTACCATCAGCATTCTTATGAAATTTCAATCTCACCAAATCCTTTGCACTGAGTTTTTCACCTGTTGCTGGATTTATACCATATTTTTTCAAAAATGGAACTATGTTCCTGTAAAATAAAACATTTTCATATCAAACAGCTTGAATCATTAGATAATTGGTAGTTTTATGAATTACATGTTGTTTTACAAGTAGTTTGTCTTTTCACTATGCTGTGAATGGAAGAGAATTTTTGTTTTATCATTTCAGCACTTTGAATGATCATATACAATTTATTTCATTCTAATATACATCAGTCCTATGATATAAAATAATAAACATTATTAAAATGATAGATTCAATAATCTGAGAATAGGTACAGACCAACCAATAAGCTCAGTTGAGCGAGCATTAGGCCTGCAGAACTCACCAAGTTTTAAGTTTTATGCAATGCATGATGCAATTTATGCCTTTTACAATTATACATATATACATTTTATTGGAGGAGGGAATTTTTGGCTGATGATATTTATTACACATGACTAAACTACAGTAAAAATTACAAATCAAACAAATATAACTACTGTAATTACTCACATTAGATCATAAATGACACCATCTTTTGTACATAGTGGATTCTCAAAGTCTTGCATAGACAACCTGCAAATGATAAAATCGCATATCAATGATATCAGGATATCTTGATTGATATGTCTCATTGTCTCAGTACTTACTCAAGTCAAGACATTCTGTCAAAACAGCATTACAATTAACAATATTCATAGAGCACTTTATTTAAATATTTGAACAGGACTATAGAATATTTATTGATGATACATGTATGTCTGAAGTTATCCATCATAAATAATGCAGTGTATGTATACTAACAAAATTTTAAATTAAGTCTGAAGAGAAGACAACTTACGTGCAGCATGAGAATGGTAGTCTTCGAAACTCCTGATTTTTAAGTTGTTTCCCCTTATATCCACCAAATTCATTTTTCCACTCTGTTGTTGTTAAATATCTAACAAAAATAATTGAAACTCATCTCAAACAATACTTTAAATTCAAATTGTGCATTGTTTAATAGTTTTGCTTTGTCAATAGTGAATATCGGCATTTACACGAGTGAATCAAGTTTTATTACATCTGGAATAAAGGATTACAGTTTAATGACAGGCGCTGTTTGTTACGTAAACATATGTACATATGGTAAGTTAAATATGCTGCAAAGTTATCATCGCTTAGATTTTCAAACTCAGGATTTAAGAAATTTTAAGCGACTTAGTTGCCCAAATTGTCCAGTTACCCCAATACAGTATACATATCTATATAAATAGCATACAACAAACTGTTTATCTGGTCCTAAATTCACTTTCACTAAACAATTTTCACAACTTTCCCTATTAAAGGGTGCTGTCATTATTCCCTTAAAATGAAAAAAACTAAAACTGGCTATTTTGGGTACGTTTAAATTTGGGGACGTTTTGACCTGCACTCGTTTGATGAATCTTTTTCAATAACTGGAGGAGAAACTGTTTCAGATAAAATAAAACGTTTTAAAATAAGGAATTTTATAATTTATGTTCAAAAATGAATGGCTTTTCTTACAGTTTATCTTTCTGATGTTGTTTTTTCCCCATTTTGACTCTGTGTTATTCGACGATTTACTCGTGAAATAAAGCGTTTGCGTGAAAACTATGACGTGCAATTCTTACGATACACGAAAAGTGACAATTTCTAATTTTTAAACATTTTTAACAAAGAAAGAAGATATTCATTGAAATGAAAAGATCTGACTTTAGCAGACGACATGAAGACTGATGTGTGGACATAAAATGGGTAACAACAACCAGAAACATTCGCTAAGAAAAGCGCAGTCAGTCCCTGACACACAGGTAAAAAATCCTCTCAAATTTCATGTTTCCTGCTTTGGTGTTTTCAATTTTCTCTTAAAGATACACCATATAATGTAAGATATATCAATACCACACTATCATAGGTGCATATTTACTTCAAAATTAAAACAGAGATATATCAACTTCTAAATGTCTTATACAGGAGTCTTTGGAATTAGCACCCGTCCGCTCGCCCTGGCTAGTAAAATAAAAAATGGGGCGACAAAATAATCCATTTCTGCATGCCCAACTGGCGAGTAAAGTTGCTGATGAACAGCTTGTTTGCAAAGTTAAATTAAGTGATATATAGCTATGCACCTGATGTTACATCACTTCAGTGTCTAGATAAACTTCCAGTACTTAAACTTTGTGATTATAGTAATTTATACATATAAGTTTATATAATAATACATTTAATTAATATGAAATTAGGTGCTACCTATGGCGCGGAAAGCTCTTATGTTTTATGATTTAAGCATAACATGTTTAGTGTACATGTTAACCAGATCTATCATGCAATTCGTTAATAAGTAAATGCAGGTATTTTGTACCGTAAACAGAAACAAATAAATTGGTGGTGACTGGTGTTCAACCTATCATCGGAAGAGGGACCACTGCGCATGCGTCGGCATTTGGAAAATCCCGTCCGCAATTTTCTGTTAATCTGTAATCACATCTGTTGTTTTTACGTTATTTTCAATGTGCAAATTTATCAAAAAGGATTTAAAAGAAACTTTTTACATTTATCATCGTAACCAGGGTTCTCGGGGACGCTTATTTGGGCGTCCCGGTACGCATGTTTATTACAGCAGGACGCAAATATTTCAGAGCAAGGATTCCACGTACGCTTAATTTTGCCTGGGGACGCATAAACATTACCGATTGTTTACAACCTCAAATACACAAATGCGTCAGCGCGTGTCAGTCTATAGATAGGCGGTCCTATGCACATCGACCCGTGAAGCGATTAGCCAATCAGCGATAACGCTTCCGATCATTATCACGCTAATTGATCAGACTAATGTATACACGCGCTGTACAGTACATGTAATTACCAGATATAACACGAGGTGATAATTTTATATCTTTGATCAACAGTTGATTGGAAATTAACAAATTTTACCGACAAAAGGATAAAATTATCGACTATTTACGCCGCAAGTTTAAAGACTGTTTTCTCAAATTACAAATGAGTGTAATTTTGAATGATTGTCGAATATTTTCGGCATTTTCTAGGCACAATTTTGCTTTAGTTTCATTCTTGCAAAAACTTTCTATAAGAGTATTAAGAATTTAAGATATTGTGCCGAAATGCCAGGACAACAAACCAAAATACACATACGCTTTTCTTTGATATTTAGATTTTATCCCGAACATCGGCGATTTCACGTTCGTCAGAAACCCTAAAATTTCGCAAAAATTCTCGGTTTCCAAGCCAAACATGCGAAAGAATTGTCCCTTAATTATTTAATCAACATTAAATCTTTAAATATCGATCTTCAATTTGCCCCCTTTTGAAGATATTTGCTAAAATAATTGTCGATCGGATGAATCTCTTACACACTGTGTGAAGCTGTACACGATTTTCCTATTCATTCCGCTAAACGCTGCCTATATACATTTACGTTTTTTTTTTACAAATATAAACTTTTTGTCTTTAGAGTGGACTTATTTAACCAGAATAAAATTTGATTTGGTATAAAAACAACAAAAAAACGATTTCCATGTGTTGATGAATAATAATGAAATAATTTCATAATAAATATTAACAACAAAACAATAATTTTACTATGTAGTTCAGAGTTTCTTTTGAATAACTATAAACTTTGGAAGTCTTTTGAAGATTCAAAATATCAGCAATACTATTGTGAGCATTATATGACTAATCTGTAAACATATTAATTGCGACGTGCTTTTGGACTCCAACTTTTTCAGGGTTGGGAGTCCATGGACTCCATGTTTTAAAGTCCTAGTGAGAACCCTGGTAACTATAGTTCTTATTAATGAAAGGAATGTTTATTTTCTGATTTTGTACATCATTCTTTCACCGGAAGTGTTATTTAGCAATAGTCTGAATTATGTAGACGCTCATTAAACGCGCTGTGATATCTATATTTAGCTCAAAGGGATTTCACAATGGCGCTGCCCAGTTAACTAAGGATTTTTTCACAGCTCATTAGGAGCTCACTAAAGCGCTACAGCCCTCGCGTCGCGGGGCCTTTGGCCCCGCTCGGACTTTCCGCGTATAAGTTTTCATTCTATGAAAAACACAAGTGAAGTCTATTTTATAGGTATACCTCCTGTAATCATTTATGAAAATGTTTGCCTGGCATAATTGTCTTAAAGTACAGCGAACTTTTTATTGAACAATTTGTCCACCACAAAAAATACACCCGCAAAAGTGCCTGTATCATGTGTATGAACTACTTATTGAACAATTTGTCGCCCACAAACAATACACCTGCAAAAGTGCCTGTATCATGTGTATGAACTGGGTAATTACTCAGTGGTTTGAAATTTCACAAGTTTATCCACTTGCATAAATTAGCAAGTACACTTAGGCTTAGCCATCTGATGAGTATAAAAATGAAATTCTAAAGAACAGACCTCACTACTTAAAAGTCAATCAGTGAAAATGTTTTGCAGAAAAACATATTTGCAGGCAACTTTTTCTTTAGAACCTCATCTAGAAGGTACATTTGTAAAATATTGATTTGAAGTTTACCCTGAGACTGTCGATATTAAATTAATTTAATTTTTGTAATGATATTTTTTTCTATGCTTAGTAAAATTTATGGTAGAATATATATACAGTACTCTTACTTTCTTTCATTTTTTTAGACATTGGATGTTAATTCTGAGTTTAGTCGTGGTGGAAAGGCGAGCAACTGGAAACTGTTTAAAGGGAAATCTACCACACAAATAGACAGAGTAGATACAACAGACTCAGCAGAAAAGTCACAGCAACCCCAACTCTCTGTTCCTTTAGTGGAAGCTCTTTTCTTACCAGACTTTCCTGTAAGAACAAAGGACTCAGATTTTGATGTAAGTTCTGCCATATGACTTTATTTGTGTCAGAAATATCATTTTTTAGGCTGGAAAAAAATCAACAAAAACCCACCGAATTTAAACTTTAAAGGCACATTAAGCCTCAGAAAAAAATAAATTTCTCATTCTGTAGAAATGGCAAATATGTGTTTTATTATGGTCTTATAATTCATTAATAAGAACATGACTGTGAGGTACACACCACCTAAAGAAAATTTAATATGGAATAGTATGTGATAAAAGTAGCCAAAACAAAGTGGTATTTTGACATCTATATTAAATACCATATCACTGTAACTGTACTAAATAACTGTAATTGCCAAGATGCAAAAAGCATATAAAAGCCAATTGATAAGTAACTTTTTTTAAAGAAAATAAGATTACCAAAAATAAAAAACTTTTGAAAAATAAAAGTGATAGCATTTTTTAACCTTAATGGGCCTTTAAGGGAGGCAGATTGATATTGCAATTATCATTTCAAGAATTCATGTTTAATGCACGTCCTTACTGTCTACCTGGAAATAGATTGAAAATATATGCAAGATAAATCATTTGCTTAGAGTAAAGCCTTGCTTCTGTTACCATTAACCCTTTCCCTGCTGAATTTGCGTAATGGACATGACCTGTTTGAATTTAAAGTAGTCCATTTTTAGTTTGAGGTTATTTAATGAATTAACATTCTTTAGTTGAGTAGTGAGCAGTGAGACTGTACATCGTTACTTGTGTAGTATTTGATTTCTTTGTCATCATAGATATTGTTATTTTTATTAATTATTTGAAATCTGTATACAGGAAGAATTTAACTTCTGCATAGCTTCTGCATACCTATCTCAGACATGATTAAAAGCCCTTTATGCCTCAGAAATGCTGTTATATTTTTTTGACAATTTTAATCTTGTTACAGTTTCCAAAAAATACTCATTTGCCATATAGATGAACTATTTTTGCTTCTTTTACTTTGTTGGCAGGTACAATCAAAGTGATGGAAGTCAAAATACAACTTTTTTTACATTTTGTTACCTTTACAATACATAAATGCACATTCAGGGCTATTTTCTTCCTCTGTTGAGCATCTAACATACTCTAAATCCATTATTAAAAACTTTTGACATTTCTAAGGTATTTAATACACATTGATTTCGGAGGCATAATGTGCCAATCTCTACGGGATACCTATTGATATATACATTTAGCTGTTTATACAGATAATTCATGATATATTTTAAATGTCATAAATATTTAGCCTCAGAAATGAATACCCATCAGGGCAACCTACATGTATGTTTTATTCTGTATAAATAATAGATTTAGAGCATTTTAGATGCTTGAAGCATAAAGAAAACAATGTTGAATGTGTACATATAATTTGCAAAATGTTCACAAAATAGTGTTTTGTCTGCCATACAAAATGTTAAATCACTTTATCTTAAAAATGGGTCAGCTATAATGGTCAGTGAGTACCATGAATTGGAAACTGTAATAGAACACCAAAAATAAAAAGCTTTTAAGTTTTAAGACAGAAATAAGATACCAGTAGCACTTTTAGGCCTTCGTTTACTTTTGAAGCTGTTAAAATGTACCGTAAATGTATTCTATATATTTGACAGATAATAATAAATTGCCAAGGGGGGCTTTTTGGTAATGTGGTAAAAGAAAAGGGGGAAAGTTTGAAAAAACAGTATTTGCATGAAGTTATGGAAAACCTTTGGTTTATATTTGTTTTCCCTGTAAAAGTCATACCAAATTTTAAAAATACCTAAAACATATACTTTTATAGTTTTCTTATAAGGGTTAAAAAATGATGGGCCAAATTTGTCAATTATCATCCTAAAACCCCAAAAAGAAAAAAGATTTTGACAAAAAATTATTCTGTTTTTGTTGCAAATGTTTCAGTTTTAAATTGACGGGAAAAAATCTTAGGGGTTTAAACCTTTAACATTATTGTTTTCACCAAGGTTCCACCACCTTGAACCTATACCTGCAATACTTCATGTTACTGTAAACTTTAACAAATGTACACAATCATATGAGTCCATCTAAATTCAGCAATATGAGCTGAAATTATTTTAAATATTTATCTTAACCTTCTTTGTATTTCTATTGTATTAAAAACATTAAGTAAATTGTGTCTAATGAATAAATAAAGAAATATGATTATTTTACAATATGCCATATTTATGTAACAAAATGTATGAATTTCATGTGCTTTACTCTTAAACTTAAAAGTAATATTGATTGTCATAATGATGGTCATGACGATCATGATTATGATGATAACAAATATGATGATGATAAACATAATATTAATGACAATAACTGTGACAATAATCAGCCATGATGATGATGGACTATGATGATGGAAATGTTTGTGTTTATAATGATAAGATGATAATAAATATGATCATTTTAAAAGATGAAAAATTTTGATGATTTTTAATGATGATAACATGATAAATTTTTAAAATTTACAATGATTAGGGTTGCTTTGTAATTAAAAAGGGTTGCTAGAAAAGAAGCAGATTTTTGTAGAAAATGCTAATCCAGAAATGAAAAAATGAGGCAGCCAAACAGGTTAGTTTACCTCTTCCTAATTGGTTTAAATACTTTACAATTTAAAATGATTAAAAAAGGGATACTTTGTTGTATTTCTTAAGTGTAAAAAAGCTTTAAAGTTTTAATTCTGCCAAAGTTAAAAAAATTTTTGTTTAAATTTTTGAAAAGAAAAATAAAATACTGAAATAAAAAACCATTAACTGCAAATTAGCATGAAAAACCCTTTACTTAATTTTTGACAAAATTTTTATTTTTAAAAAAATAGTAGAAACTTCTTCTCAAATTTGATTTTCTTGAAATTTCTTGGCTAATCAGTAAACATGCCGCTGTAAGGTACTGCTGTTATTTGTCTATAATGTTAATATATATATATATATATTTATTGCAGTCAATTCTCGGGGATCATCCTTTCATTGTGAAATGTCATGAATATTGGCAATCCAGAAAACACCTGTACATAGGTCAGTTTGTTGAATCATTTTACTTAATTTTTTTTTGGGGGGGAGGGGATGGTGGGGGGGAGTATATATTTGTTGTTGTTCTTGCCTGTGTAAGTATCACACTTTGGTTAAAAAGTTTGATATAAGTTTCTATCTCCAAATCTACTGAAGGGAATGGGCCGTCACTCTAACATAAATTTGACAGAATTATGGCCCTTTTTGAACTTAGAAAATTCTACATTATCGTGGTACTTGTTTTATTGTCAAGCACTGAGAATAGTCTAGCTGTCCTACTGACAGCTACTGTTGATGATATCCAATCATATGACGATCCTCCAGGCATTCTAGTGGCGGATCAATTGTTTTTACTCATTGTGCACTATATTTTACACAGTTGGTTTATACAGAATTTATTTCAGTTCGATTGTGAAGGAAGCTTTAAGCTTATAGACACACTTTCCAATCTGTAACTGGAACCAACCAGTAATGAGCAATGAATGTAAAGTTTTTTGCTCAAGGAAACAACGACTTGCCCCTGATGGTATTTGAACCCATGCGGCAAGCGATCATGAGATCTTGTCCGACGCGTTAACCACTCAGCCATGCTGCCACATCAAATTACACAGTTAATCTTGTAGTATATATCTTCATGACATGAAACAAACAGATAATCCCTTGTGGGATTCATACCAATTGCATTGTGCTGCTATGGATTAAAAATCTGGGTCCTCAAGCACACTTATAGCTGATCTATCAAAAAAATCTACCAAAAAATAAATATTGCCTCAAGTATGTCAAATACATTTTTTTGTAAAAAAACTGATCAGTTGTTTTTATGTACAAAACAGGCTAACTTATAGTTGACAGTTTTTTTTGTTTAGTGTTTCTAGAGTAACTTTAATTAACAGTCATTTTTTATCAAATATATCAATGTAATACCGATACTCATTTGAGACTAAAAGAATTTGAACATTTTATCCCAAATATAGCAAATAACTTAAAGATATAGTTGTAAATTAAAAGCTGTGATTCCAGTCATTATTTGTAATGTTATTAATGTATTATTTGTTATGTTTGTATATTATATAATAATTTCTTTTGTTTTTACAGTATTAGAATACATTCCCTTTGGTGATATGTTTACTTTATGGACATTTCATGGATTCTTTCCTGAGAAGGTTGTTAAAATTTATGTTGCTGAACTTGCTATGGTGTTAGGTAAGTATCCTATTAAAATGTTAGCTTTTACTTGTCAGTAAATGTATGTCATTATGCATTATCTTGTTGATAAGTGGAAATAGTTTACAAACAAGTCATTAAAGTGAAAATGGAAAAAATACTTCCCTTAAATTAAGATAATTTTCATATTTTGATAACACAAACACTTTTTTCTATTTATATAATGATACTTGTTGAAGAAACAGGAAAATTTCACAGAAATGTGGTAAACTATAAGATAAATGATATAGATTATATTTCACTGATTAAGTGAATGAAAAAATTTCTTTGATAAGTTTGAAATAAGTAAATATAATACAATTTACATACTCGAATTCTGTTTTGTTTCAGATTATTTACATAAGTCAGGGGTTATTTACAGGGATATGAAGGTAAATATGTTTGTCAAGAATAAGTTATTACCTATGTTTCATACATGTGTTATTATAACAGGTACATGTATATTGAAAGTGTTCTAAAGCTGAGTGATATTTTTCATTCTTCACTACCCAGCTATAGTCTTTAAATTTCCGTATATTAACATGATAATATAAACATAAAAGTGACATGTGAGCCTAAAGGAAGCAAATGTGGGACAATATTTTTGTTATTTCATCACCTTAGTGCAATAACTGGTTAACTCCTCTTAAGTTTAGAAGGACTTAACCCGTTACTGTACTAAAGTGACATTTTGATTTGTTTCCATGACGAGGTTATTTGATAATAAAAAAACGAAATTAATACGTGTTTATACCATTATTGATAGAGCTTAAATAATGTTTAAAGATTGGGTAAACATTACAATTTACAGGTCAGTAATGGCAGGTACATCCAACTGTTAGTTTCATACTCTGTCACTAGACAGAGCCAGATATTACAATATTTCAGCTTATGTAGTTTTGAGTTTGTTTATTTTGGTAAAAATGTCAATTTTTAAAAATTTTGTTGGCTCTATGTTCATTATTGAAAAGGTTCCTTTTTACAGTTACATATTTGAGCACTTGTTTGTATTTTAGGAAAATGTATTTTGTCAAAAATTTAGATCCTCTTACAAATAATTTTCAGACAGTGCTTACACATATTCAAGCCAATATTACTCCTATTTTCAGCTACTAGTCATTGATTGTATGCAATTTTATTCATTTCAGATGGAGAATTTACTATTTGACATGAATGGTAAGTATTGATAACTTAGATGTGTTATATAAGGCTGATAGAACTTAAAGCAATAAAGTATTCCAAGATGCCTGCTCATGCCAGAAACAGAGTAGAAGGGCACCTGAGTCAATAAAGCGTACAACTTTAAAAGGGCTTCACTGAGATTTTTTTTGACATGATGGGACTGGAAATATTTTTTGAGATTAATGTTCATTTGATGTAGGACTAGGCCAATAACTTGTGTGCAAAATTTCAGGTCATTCACTCCCGCCAATATTTCACATTAATTATTAAATATGTGAAAAATGACCAAAAACTGAAATGCAGTCCCCACACACTCAAATTGGGCTAAGAATTGCACAAAAATCTGATTTTAATTTATTTCTTATTTCTATAGTATATTTCTCAATAAATGTTGGTTTATACAGAATTTATTTTAGTTTGATTGTGAAAGAATCCTTAAGCTTATAAACACTGGATCCAACCAGTACTGAGCAATGAGTGTAAAACTTCTTGCTCTCACCTCTGACGGGGTTTGAACCAACATGGATAGCAATCCTTAGTTTACTGGTCTGACGCGTTTACCACTCGGCCTTGCTACCACATACCATGTATTGGTAGTAAATGACAATGTTTTACATATCTTTGATCATTGTTATTGTTACATATAGGTCATCTGCAGCTAACAGATTTTGGTCTAGCTAAGTGGTTAGCCCGAGGGGAGAAAACCAGAACAGTTTGTGGCACTCTACAATATATGGGTATGTTAATAAATCTTATATACTATACAATAAGTAAACTTATGATATTTTATTTGAAAACATTTTGTAATTATCATGTTGCTAGATTTTAAATGTTACTTTCAATTTATAAAAAAAGTGTGGGGCAGTCTTTTTATATTTAGACAGATATTCTTCTTATCATTTTCTGATATCATTCAACTGTTGGTCAATTATTATAACAGTCAATCTTTTGAAATATATAGTCAATTTGCCTTAAATTGACAATGAAAATATGGGCATAATATAACTTTAAGGTGTGTTTTGTTATTGTTATAATTCTAGCACCTGAAGTATTAGCTGTGTATCCATATGGTCATACTGCTGACTGGTGGTCACTGGGTATACTCATGTATGCTATGTTAGTCGGAAAGGTATGTATACATATTATAATAATATCAATCTATTTAGTACAGCTTACATCACATTATACTTAAACAGCATATAAATTATTACATCTTGTTGAAGTTAGACCTGCTGAATTTGTGTAATGGATTTGCCCTGCTTTGAATTTGAATTTGAAACAGTCGGTTCAAAGTTAAAGGGATTTCATTATCAAATATTAAGAAAAAATGAAACTACAACTGGTAGAATCTGGCCGTATACTGTTGGCAAAGGCTAGTCATTTTAGATACAGGTTGACACTGAACATCATCTGTAAAACTGTTGTTAATATGAGCCGCGTCATGACAAAACCAACATACTGTAAAATCATTATTATTCGTGGGGCACGAATTTTCGTGGTTTTCGTGGGTAGGTCAATCCACGAATTTAAGATCCGACGAAATTTTATCCCAACAAATTAATCTTACCTTGTCTCTGTTCTATATATTACAAACATGCATCGGCTCTTTTCCGGCCAATTTTCGTGAAATGTATGTACAGTAAACTCCGCTTATAACGAACTCACTGGGATATTCAAAACCTGTTCCTTATATCCGGAGTTCCTTGTAAGCATAAAGCGAATTAGTTCGTTGTATCAGGAGTTTTTATAGCGAACAGATTGACATATAACGAACTGATTGTTTACCATTGTCCGCCAGTTTTGAAGAGAATTTGATTAAGAAATAGAAATATTAGTCATTTATTTATATTTTAGACACACTACCCGAGAGCGTACTTTTTGGAATTTGAAAATCATTGCTATTTCAGTTTTAGTTTTACTCCTTATCTCAATTTCACATAAAATATAATATTTTGTTTCTAAACTATTTTCGTTTTTTTCCATGATTGAGAATAAACAAGATTTTCGATTTTTCCTTCCTTTTATATTGAATATCTTCTATTATAATTTAAGGTTGACTTTTACTAATGTAAGATATAGATTTCTTTTCATTTAAATCAAGCGTACTTTGCAGTTTGCAATGGATTATGCTTGCAAGCATGCATGATAATGTTGAAAACCGATTATAAATTATTATAATTATTTTACTCGAGCAAAACTATTGAAGAAAATAAATAAATAACCGTTTTATCTTGGTGAAAAGAGCTCATGCTAAAAGTATCCAAAATAGAAAACTATACAAATTCATTAGAATAGATGTATTGAAGTGCATACAACGACAAACGGTACATTCGCACGAGTTTTAATCCGTGCGAATGAAAACAAAAGTTGAAAATGCGGGATCTATTTACGGATAGCATATATTTTGGAGTTCGTTAAAAAAGTGTAATTTTCAGTACTATTAACTAAATTGGGACTAAGAAATGAGTTCCTTATAAGCGATAATTCCTTATAACCGTGTTCGCTATAACCATATATTTTTATATTAAATAAAGAAGGCCAAAATTCGGGCCAAAATAAATTGTTCCCTATAACCGGAAGTTCGCTATAACCGTGTTCGCTATAAGTGAAGTTTACTGTATATACATACAGTACAGATAATCAGGTTAGTAACAGATAAAATCAGTTTGCAATATTTAAGAAACTTGAAAGAAAGCCCGATTATATGTCCTCAATTTACTGTCACAAATGTTGGTCGCATATATACACACTTGATCGTTGTTAAAATACTTATCTTTATCGGGTAAATATGGGAACCCAGGCCATCCAATAATTAGCCCTTAAATTTATAAAAAATGTCAGTTTGCTCACATAAATTAAAAAAATATCTTTGATATATATGTCGTAAGTACACAAAACTGTTAAAAAATACAATCGCTAAAACAGATAAATTGTACATTCTTTTGTCATTGTTAAATGATCGAGTTTAAATGAATTTTAATCTGTATTTGTGCCAATGCTATTACATAAACATCAAAGATGCCACTGACTTTTTCTAGATCCACACATACTCTTGTTATTTATGCATGTAAATTTACACAGTCGCTGTGACGTTGCATGTAGTTACTGTCAAATATGGTAAGACCAATTCTGGGTGTAAACTTTTTAAACTCGCTAATTAAAACGTGTCAAGTGTCGTATAAACTATGCGATGTTTACATCGGCGAATTGCAGGGGCAGTGTGTCTAATGGTTGTGCATATCATGTCACATAAATGTGTTAATTGCAGCCAGTTATCGGCAGTATCTGTGCTATATTAGAGTTATGTCCAGAGGCTAGGATTAAATTTATTGACAAGCGCTGTGTGTCACGTAAAGATATGTACATGCTGTAAGTAAAAATGTTCGGCGATTAAGTTAGAGATTACTTTGCATTAGGTTACTAAATTTTTTTACAAGAAAATGAAAATCCACGAATTTAAGAACCCACAAAAATGCCCGTTTTGATAAAACCACGAAATTTCATGCCCACAAATATAAGTGAATTCGCAGTAATGGGTTTGCAACCAGCATGGATCCAGACCAGCCTGCACATCCGCTCAGTCTGATCAGGATCCATGCTGTTCGCTTACCAACCCTATTACAAGTAGAGAAACTGATAGCGAACAGCATGGATCCTGATCAGACTGGCGGTTGCGCAGGCTGGTCTGGATCCATGCTGGTCGCAAACCCACTATGTTGGTTTTGTCTTGACACGGCTCATATGTTAAGCAGTCCCTTCAGGTTAGGTATACAGGTTGACTTGTTAAGCAGGTTAATATGACTGCTTCTGGCACATCAGACTGGCGTTCTCGTTAGTTTTACCCATCCAGGAAATTTCGTCTGGCATGGAGGGTGCCAGGTGAATTATGTGCTATAGAATTGCATGACTTAATTTTTACCTTTATGAATGAAGTTGTAATTTCATACAGTGTTTTAAGAACAAAGTTAAGGGTTTTATGACATAAATTTCTATGGAAATTTGTTTTATTAACATTAAGAATTTTAAGTATAATGGAATGTGGTAAAATATGCAGGAAAAAATGTGTGACATATGTGTGCAGTTCGAAATATAAGTCTTTCGGTAACCCCCTATGGACACGTCCCCTGGGGATGGATATTCTGATCTGAATGGCAACATATGTCTGATATTATTATTCTGTTGATTCACCTAAAAATAAGAAATTCCATTTGTTCCTGGTGTGGATTGCCTTCAACGACTTTAAAGAAAAATCAAAACAACCACAAATTTTTTACTTATCTAGAAATTTCAAATCTATTTATGAACTAGTGAAAAGAAACCCCAAGAAATGCCTACATCTTTTACATATGTGTTTATTGCATTATTTCCAAAAATGATTTGTATGTCTGTCCTACTAATCTACTGTATGTCAGTAGACTGACAAAACAGTGGAATGTGGTTGTATTTTTGTCCTATCGACATATTCCAAGTTTTTTTTGGTCATTTGAATGAAAGCAATATGAATTGTAAAAATTGTAATGCATGGAAATAGGGATATTTAATATTAACTTGAACATTGTCTCTGTAATTTCACTCTTTTTCTATAATGTTATCAGTTCTAAAATCTGAATTGTATGATATATTATTTTCATCTTTTATAATTTCAGTATCCAGTTGATGGGGCGAAAGATCATATAGAGATGGCAAAGCTAGTGCTAGATTCCGACTATCTTTGTCCTAATATTGTATCTGATGATGCTCAAGATATTGTAAATAAAGTAAGAAATTTCTGTCATAAATAATGTTTACATGCGTTTCTTAGCTCTGAAGATAATTTTTTGTTTGAGTGAAATATGGAATATGTATTTTTCATGAAACATGGATAAAATTCCATATATTTTTACAAGCTTGAACAGCGAGTAAAATATATTGAATTTTATCTTGTGTTGGTTTTTTAAAGCAATTTTCAATGGTTGAAGAAAAGATCTTTGATGTCATTTGTTCTTGGGCCCTAACCAAATTGAAATTATGTGAATGGAGGCATTTAAATGAGAAAAAAATATTGATAATTGTAAAAGAACAACAAAAACCCTTAATTTTTAAGTTTTGATACAAAATGCATGGACACTTTTAGAAAATTATGACCGGAATATATTTCTGAAAAAAACTTGTGTCCTGGAGGTAAACAAATTCGTAAAATAAACAATCACTTAAATACTGAATCCAATTATTTCTGTGAAGTTTTAATTATATCTTACCAGCAACAACAAATGAATTTGAATAAAAAAAGTAAATGTAAATAAGAATCTTTAATATAGTAATGTTCATACTATGTTTGTATGTTTCAGTTATTAATGAAGAGTCCCCAGAAACGTCTAGTAGATTTGTATTCTCTGCAAAACATGAAGCTGTTTAGATATCTCAATTTTACAGATCTCATAGAGAGGAAGGTAAGTTAAATTGATGGTAGGGGCCTCTCTGGCCAATTGGTAAAAAGTTAAATTGATGGTAGGGGCCTCTCTGGCCAATTGGTAAAAAGTTAGATTGATGTAAGGGGCCTCTTTAGCCAGTTGGTATAATGTTAGATTGATGGTAGGGGCCTCTCTGGCCAATTGGTAAAAAGTAAGATAGATGGTAAGGGCCTCTCTGGCCAATTGGTAAAAAGTTAGATTGATGGAAGGGGCCTCTTTGGCCAGTTGGTAAAATTTTAGATTGATGGTAGGGGCCTCTCTAATTGGTAAAAAGTAAGATTGATGGTAGGGGCCTCTCTGACCAATTGGTAAAATTTTAGATTGATGGTAGGGGCCTCTCTTGCATTAGTAAAAAGTTAGATTGATGGTAGGGGCCTCTCTGGCCAATTGGTAAAAAGTTAGATAGATGGTAGGGGCCTCTCTGGCCAATTGGTAAAAAGTTAGATTGATGGAAGGGGCCTCTTTGGCCAGTTGGTAAAATTTTAGATTGATGGTAGGGGCCTCTCTAATTGGTAAAAAGTAAGATTGATGGTAGGGGCCTCTCTGACCAATTGGTAAAATTTAAGATTGATGGTAGGGCCCTCTCTGGCCAATTGGTAAAAAGTTAGATTGATGTAAGGGGCCTCTTTAGCCAGTTGGTATAATTTTGATTGATGTAGGGGCCTCTCTGGCCAATTAATAAAAAGTTAGATAGATGGTAGGGGCCTCTCTGGCCAATTGGTAAAAAAGTTAAGATTGATGGAAGGGGCCTCTTTGGCCAGTTGGTGAAATTTTAGATTGATGGTAGGGGCCTCTCTAATTGGTAAAAAGTTAGATTGATGGTAGGGGCCTCTCTGGCCAATTGGTAAAATTTTAGATTGATGGTAGGGGCCTCTCTAATTGGTAAAAAGTTAGATAGATGGTAGGGGCCTCTCTGACCAATTGGTAAAATTTTAGATTGATGGTAGGGGCCTCTCTAATTGGTAAAAAGTAAGATTGATGGTAGGGGCCTCTCTGGCCAATTGGTAAAATTTTAGATTGATGGTAGGGGCCTCTCTTATTGGTAAAAAGTAAGATTGATGGTAGGGGCCTCTCTGGCCAATTGGTAAAAAGTTAGATTGATGGTAGGGGTTTCTTTGACCAATTGGTAAAAAGTTAGATTAATGGTCAGGGCCTCTGTGACTGATTGGTAAAAACTGATGAGTGGGTTTAAATCCAATCAAGGACTTTAGGTTCTTTCTTGTGACAGAGCTATCAAGGTAGCAAAAAAAATCAGTGGTTCTCCTCGGATGCTTGAAAAAATGCACAAATTAAGTACACTTTAAATTCTTTTTTGTGAAGAAGCAATCAAGGTAGTGTACAGTTGATCGTTGAAATTAAAGTTTTTCTGTTGTTGTGTCTATAAGTCAACAGTATTAAAACATTTCCTTAAAGATATTGCCTCGGTCAATTTGCTCTCTAGAATAAATTCATTTGTTGAATGTATTTTTGGTACCAAATAATTGTTTCACATATTTAGAATACTGGTGGACAATATAAAACTGCGTATGTGATATGTTTAACACAACTGACCAACAGAATATTACTTTTAGATTAATCCAAGTACAGTAGTTCCTCCAGACTTCTTCCCTATGACAGGTACCAGCTATAGTTATGCACCAGGATCTACTCATTCTAATGACAGCTTTCAAGATGTAAGTGTTTATCTGTAGGACACATACTTCATTTACTGTATAAGTGGATATTTCTGCATGTCAAAAAGTTAGCGAATTTAAAATTCCAGACATTTCGCATGAGGAAATATTAGTGCCTTAATGACAGGTTGGTTGATATTTTTGCTAGAGATAATTTTAGTGATTTTCATCAATTTACCAAATTCAATTTGCTTATATATCCGCATTGCTAACCTAACCACTTAAACAGTATTCTTAAAAAATGAAACCTTTCTTTTTCTCAATTTCATCTTGCAATCATATTCTGTTGTTTAATTCCATTTAGTATACAACATATAAAGAAGGCCTGTAATAGTCTCGTGAGATAGAGATTGGTGGCTTCTGTGCGTGAATGGTTAAGTTTGCTGTCTTGAAACTCCTTGCCCCTTACGGCTTTGGGTTCGAATCCCAACGGGCCTTTAGATTCTCTAATGTTAAGAAACTTGGTGGTTCTACAAGGTTGTACATTAAAAGCATGTCCCATTAATTGTTAAATCTTGTACGGAATTAATCAATCTAAACAACTGAAATGTATGAGAGAAATGCATCAGTAGTCTGAGAAAGATATATGGCCAACATACCATAAAATAATTTGAAAACAATTGTGTGAAACAAAGTCAATATTTTGCAATGTGTTTAAACTGTCAAAGAAAACAGAATGTGTTGAAATTTTTGACTAATTTTTATTCCCTGCAATTATAACTTATTTTACTATTTATTTACATTCTCTATGAACAAATTTATTAGAAAAGAATACTTATATTTGTTCAAAATTCTATTTTTAGTTTGACTGTGTATGGAACTTACCAAACGGAACAGATAAACCAGTCTATGTTTGATGTTGATCATCATACATTATTCTACTGAACATTTTGTCTCACCAAGGGCCACAACTCTTACACTGCCACTGTGCAGATAATGTGTGTTTTCTACTAGATCTGTGATTTCCGACAGTTTTGGGATGTATTTATCTAGATATTAGCTGCGACATGAAGAATGAGTTTACAAACAAACTTCTGTTGATCAGAATACAAAAGTATGATATGGGTATACATGTATTTATAGTCTGGTACAGAATGTGTTTTGTTTTAGATTATTGAACGTAGTAGACACACGTAACTTTCATAAGTGAAGGAAAATGATATTACGACTGTTGGGGAAAATGACCTCACTTCCTGCAATGTATTGTGGTAGGTGATGACAGCACTTCCTGTAATGTAGTGTGGGAGTCAGTGACATCACTTCCTGTCATGTATTTTGGGAGTCAATGACAACACTTTCTATCATGAATTGTTGAAGTTAATGACTACTTCCTGTAATGTATAGTGGAGTTCATGGCATTATTTCCTGTATGGTATTGTGGAAGTCAATGACATCACTTCCTGTATGGTATTGTGGAAGTCAATGACATCACTTCCTGCAATGTATTGTGGGAGTCAATGACATTACTCCTAGTAAGGTATTGTAGGGGAAATGACATCACTTTACAGCAAAAAATATTTTGGAGACCATGACAATTTACAATTTTATGACATTGAAGCAGTCTGTAGTTTATGTTGGAAAGAGAGAAAAAATAGCATTAATTCATGAGATGTTTGTCTTACCAGTTTCTTCTATTTTAGTTTATAGATCCATTTTATCACATAATCATCTAAAAAAACTTATGCTTGTCTGTACTTTACATGGTTACTTTTATGGAGGGGGGGGGGGGAAGAGGAAATATTACAACTCTTAAGTATATTCATTTTTAGAAACTATTTGAAAAACGTTTATTCTTCTTGTAGCCTCATAGGTATCTAAACATGATCTATTCAGAGTAAAATCAAGGAAGTAATGGCTAAACTATATATTCTGTAAACGTAATCAGGGAGTTCTGGCTGCATGCTGCTGCAACATAACTTTATGTCCGAGTTTAAATTGAAAAATTCTGTAGATGATTACTAGAGATTTCTAAAATATTTTGTGACATCCTCGCCTGATACCTCATCTACCAAAACAAATATATGAAATTTAATTATTTATGTATGTAATAGCTCAAAACCATTGTTATACATGTATATGTCAAATTACACCAAATATACTGTTAGACATGTATTAGTTATATAGATTTTTGACTGGTTATATGGCATATTATAAATGATTGTAAACTTATATTACCAAAATCATAAGGTTTGGGTTATATTGCAAACATATGTTTATACATGGCCATAAAAACATGTCAAAAGTCTTTGTAACAAATTCTTAACACTGCATAATTGCTTTATTTGATTAAAATCAAAATTAATTCATAAATATGCAATACCTGTGTATAGAGATTATATAAATGTCACAATTGTCCAATGAAAATGAATGTTACATATATGTGAAGTATTGTAAGCTGTGTAGTTTGTACATGTAAAAGTGAACACAGTTCTGTATTCATATACATGAAGTCACGCTCGGTTGTGTAATACTACACACAGTGATATTATGTCAAACATATTTTGAATACACATGCATATAACATATTTTCTATGCTGCCACAGTGAGTAAGGAGTATTTTATCACGTCTATTTTTATGTTAGCAGAATCATCCTGTCATTGTATATTTAACCACATACTTTGTCTAACTATCTAATTATCCCCAACAGATGGAATCGGGAGGGGGATATAGTTTTGGTGTTTTCCGTCCGTCAATCCGTCCGTCCAAATTTTGTTTCCGGAGTAGTTCTCTGCAACTATTGGCTGGAATTCAACGAAACTTTATGGGAATCATCAATATCAAGAGGAGATGGGCATATCGTCGGCTTGTTCCGGTCAGACACTTTAACTCAGAGTTAAGGCCCTTGATTAGTTATGCAGTATGCATATAGAGTAAAAATCGTTTCCGTGCTACTTCTCTGTAACTACTGGCTGGAATTCAATGAAACTTTATGGGATACTAAGAGGAGATGTGCATATAGTCGCCTTGTTCCAGTCAGATACTTATAACTCAGATTTATGGCCCTTGATTAGTTATGTAGTATGCATACATCTCATTGGCATTTCCAGATATTACTATTTAACACAAAGTTATGGCTCTGTTATTTCCCTGAATATTTATCAGGTTCAAAGAATATTACTGTTTATGCCATGATTAATATATAAATAAAGCCGTATGTCTTCAGTTGTTGTGTTAATAATAACCAGTACTTGGCAGGGGATATAAATTCAACGAATTTGCTTGTTAAAACTATTACATTGTAAAAATCGTTTTAATTTTAAGAGCATATTACACAATGGGGAGCAGTTAAGTATGATATTTGTCAAAATATAGATTTTATTATTTACCTATGAGTGAAGTGGGTCATAAATATCCTTTGAATGTAGAATCATAATTTACATATGTATAAAGAGTAATAATTTACATATGAATGTAGGGGCTTAATTTCCGTATGAGTGAATGGTCATTATTTACCTATGATTGAAAGTCATTGTTTACCTATGAGTGAAGGTTGTTAGTTATGAGCAAACACTATTTTTTACCTATGAGTAAAGGGCCATTATTTACCTATGTGTGAAGCACATTTACTTATGAGTGAAGGGTCATTATGAGTGAAAGGCCAGTATTAACCTATGAGTGAAAAGCCATTATTTACTTATGAGTGAAGGGCCATTATTTATTTATGAGTAAAGGGCCATTATTAACCTTTGAGTGAAGGATTATTATTTACCTATGAGTGATAGGTCAGTCGTTCTATGTTACTAGAAATATAAAGTTGTCATATTGATACCTCAGCAAGATAGGGTTATCTTTTACGTTACACAAAGGAATCTTTATTTTATGAATGCTAAACAGAAGTGGAGATATATCCATAAAGAGTTTATTTCTTTTCATGCAATTTGTTGTTGATTGTTTTTGTCTCGTATACAATTATTCAGAATTATAAACACCAAGTTTAGCTTCAAGTGTGCTATTGTTAAATATTGCACTGTTAAGGGTTAGGTGTAATGTGATGAACTGAATTACAAATCATCTAGCCATCTGAAATGATGCAATATCAAACCATAATACATTAGAAATTAAGATGTTTATCTCTTACACAGTACTAGATTAAAGGGATAACTGTTGAACTATAATCAGTGAATTTGTGAATATTTATATGAATATGGTCTTGTAATGTATTGACTATTGACATATAATAAGTCAATATGTCTATATGAGCCATGATATAATGATTAGTATAGCCATGATTAGTATATCATTGACAGGTCATCTGCATACTGTTGTACCATGGTCATGTTAACGGAACTGTATACTGGAATACCATGGTCATGTTAACTGAATACTGGTATGCTATGGGCAGGTGACCTGCATACATATATACCATGGGAATGTTAACTGAATACTGGTATAATATGGACAGATGACCTGCATACAATGTTTACTGAATATTGGTATAATATGGTCATATTAACTGAATACTTGTATACCATGGACAAGTTTACATAATACTGGTATAATTCTTATCATATGTTGTGTCATGAGTTTACAAAAAAATACAAACTATTGTGTAAAATGTTGAATTATGAATGTATATGTGCCATACATCATGTGTTGTGGTTATATGTGTTAAAACAAACCCTTAACCTGCTGGATTCATGTATTGGATTTGCCTTGCTTTTGAGTTTGGAACAGTCCATTCAAGCGTAAAGGCATTTCAGGATTAGACACTGCATATTGGCATGACCCTTTACCAAGGTTTACACTGGCCAGTTTTATTTTTCTGCCACTGGTGGCAAAGGCTAATATATCTACTGGATGTAACAGGTTATTGGTTGAAGTTAGTTTGTATTTAACTACTAATGTACTGTGAAAATATTGTATAACTTTCAGTGCATGGGTTCTAAGTATTCTAAGCTTTAATTATTTTTTTTTAACTTGTTTTGACTTTTGTCTACATATAATATCAATTTCTTGTGTTTGTGTTAAAACTGAATTTTTGTAACATTAAATTATGATTATTTTATATATAACAATAAATAATGTTTTGATAATTTAAACATAATTGATTTGTGCAAATTTCTTGTAAATTTCATCAATTGATCAAACCAAACAGTTGTAAAATATGGCTAAAAATGTAAATTTGGAATTGTGCCAATTTCTAATATTGTCAGAGTACATAATGGCTCAGGTTGTGTGCACATATGGAGATTTTTTTTTCCTTTTGTAAAACTTTTCAAAGGATTGTTCTTTAGAAACTTAATGGTTGTGTGCTACTGCCTTAATATTAAACAGTGATTTTAGTTAATATGTTTACACTAATGAATACTAATTTTATATAGTCAGTTAGGAAGTATACATTTGAGCTAACAAAATTGGTTGATTTTATTTTACGTTGGGTTACATATCTTGCCATATATTCTAAAAATCTTGTTTGTTACGTTATATAGATAACTCTGATTCTTTTGAATTGTTTGTGTTTTTTAACATGGAGATCTTGTCTTTCTGTTGCGAGGTATATGCAGTCACTTGAAATACAATCAACTTTGTGAACAAGAAACATAAAGAATGAGCTTAGTAAATATTTAAAGAAGAAATTTTTCAGTGATTTCTTAACATGTGACCTCTAATTCTGGACTGTCATCTGAAATCAGTCTAATTTTTCTTTCATCTTATTTTTGATAAAAAACAGTTAAAAGGTCCAATTGAAGGAAGGTGGTCCTGTTAATCACAGTTTTATGTTTAACACACCTGTGGACATATCAAAACGTTTCATGCTACCATATTATAGTTACATCAACCTTTGTTGTCTACAAACAGTCTCAATCAAAACAAACCTGCAATATTTTCATTTTTGCCATATTTGGTGTGACCTTCAATGGTTCAATTTTCAGTGTTATGTTAAAACTTTAGAGGTTATTAACTTTAGTGTACATGTAGTTTGTACATAGAAATATTTACTTTCTTAGTGACTTCACTGTACATGTTTAGTTTAAGTAACAGTTACCTTTTGACAGGATTTGTCTCCCTTATATTGTGCATAATTGTTTTTTTTTATATTTTGTATATCATTATTTTCACTGATATTTCATGTTACAGTATATCTTATTTAACTCTTTGTTTTTGTTCTTGGTTGTGCAAAATTGTATCAGGGAAGGTAACTTATTACACTAACCATTGTTGTCTCCCTTGAAATTTAAAAAAGGAGTGACACATTGTTGTTTCCCTTTAAATTTAATAAAGGAGAGACTTTAAAAAAACAAACTATAACAGATTTGATTCTTAATTATACATTCCGTTTTCGCTCGACTATTCAAAGGATAGGGAAAGCTGTTGCACTCACTCAGGCATCACCGTCACTCTTTGGTTAAGTTTTTGCATGCAAGTTGGTATCTGCCAAAGTACTGAAAGGAACGAATGGGTTGAAACTTCAAACACTTATTTGAGAGCATAATAGAAGGTCATTGTTTAAAGCCCATTACTTTAACATAGATTCTGACAGAATTATGGCCTTTTCTGAGCTTAAAAAATATAGGCTATTGTTTTACTATAGAGCACTGAGAATAGTCGAGCACAATGTCCTACTAACAGATCTTGTTGAGTAGAGAACTTGTATACCTTATTGTTTAATTCTTTTTTTGTTGTATGATTTGTATGATTTATTGACTAGCTTTGACAGTAATTTATTATCCATAATAGAAATACATAAAGGAGCCATTTTGGAAACTTTTAATTTTAAAGTAGAACAGAAAAAAGGCATTAACACTTGTTTGAAGTTTAGCACATTTTCATTAATTATTTTACTTTATCTGAGTATGTGTAATTTTAATAATATAGAAAGATTGTATGTATGTTTTAGTTAGCTTTCAATTAAATATAAACATCACTGGCCAATTGATGATCTCATGTAAAGTCATTTAACCTTTAACCTATTGAATTTGTGAAATGGATTTACCCCAGCTTTTGAATTTGGAACAGTTTATTTGTAGTGTAAGGGATAACTATATCAAAATACAGGAAAGGAGCTAAGAACCAATATAGAGCCTGGTCAGACTGCATGGATGTACAGGCTGGCCTGGCTATATACTGGTAGGCAGGGCTTATCAGTTTTCCTTTCCCAGCAGGTTAAAGGTTATGACATAAAAATGAGCCCATTTCAGTACATTTTTATTGTTTATAGTTGTGGCCTAATATGTTGATTGGAAAGTTTTAGAAAATGTAGGCAAGTTCTGGCGGTGGTTTCATGAAAATATTGATGTAACTTTGTAATGTGTCTATTAATAGCACAGTCATTATTATATATAAAACAATTTAAGGATACATGTCTTGAAAAGCAAAAAAAATGTATGCACATATCAAATTCAAGGTCTGTGACCCACAATTTTTCGCTTAAAATGTGTCTGTTGTCATAGAATATGATATTTTAAGATAAATTCTATCATAAAGTTTTTGATCAGTCTACTATATGTCTAAATTAAAACTGTAGCCTACACATATAAATTTCATCAGAAATTAATGTGCTGTATAAAATTATCTATAAAAGTATAATAAGTATGGAAACTACATGGAATAACATGGAAATAAAAAAAGATTTATCTAAAGTGAGAAATATTTAACTGCGATTTTCACCTCAATAATTTAAGCTACTGAAGTCATGTATGGTGTTTAAAATAGTTACTCAATTGTTGCATGAAACCATGGCCTGTTCTGCCTGTGTTGTGTATTTTAAGTTGTGTAACATTATGTTTTATATGTGAAAGTAACTAACACTTTACACAGTGCTTCACTATATGCAGGGCTAAAGATGCATTTATTTCTAACTGTTGATTTGTGTATACATGTACATTTTTTTTGTTATAATTATTGTACAGTAGATTATTTACTATAACCCGAAGGTGATATTTTGTATGATTTTTTTTTTTTTGGAATAAAGTATAGGAAAACTTGTATTTTGTGTCTCATTTGTTATATGTAACATACAGTCAAACCTGTATAAAAGAACACCTCTGAATAAAGATCAACCTGTGAATAAAGGCCACTCATCAACAAACATTAATTCATTAAATGAGCCGCGTCACAAGAAAACCAACATAATGGGTTTGCGACCAGCATGGATCCATGCAGTTCGCTTACAAACCCTATAGCAAGTAGAGAAACTGATAGCGAACAGCATGGATTCTTACCAGACTGTGCGGATGCGCAGGCTGGTCTGGGTCCATGCTGGTCGCAAACCCATTTTGTTGGTTTTGTCGTGACGCGGCTCAAATAGAACTAGAGTTACCTCAATATGAAAGACCACTTGTCTATAAAGGCCATGAACATTCTCTCCCAAGGATGACATTTGTTAACAGGAATGAATGTAAATGAAAAAGGTGTATCATGTGAGAAACGCTGGTAAACCCTTTCAGGGTAAATGTTAATAACTTATAGCGTTCACCCCGCGTGCTAGTAGCGTTCAACCCACGTGCTGTCTGACAACCTCTATATTGTCGTCTGCTCAAGTCAAGTAGATTAGTCTGCAAAATAATACTGTTTTGAAAAATTCAAAACATAACATTCCCGTGATTAAAAAGTTAGGAGGTTGCAAAGGTTGTTTATAAACTACCATCTTACGGGATATGTTAGGTAATGTTGTAGCAACAAATTTCTTTATTGATAAAAGCATATTACGTTATGAATATGAATAAATGTCTTATATATAAAATCAACATTTAAATTTTGAATCTGATTTTGATAAGCTTTATAATAAATACTAGACAATTAATTTGTTCCGTGGAACTAAAAGAGGCACCACGAAACTTGCATGGTGTAATATATTTTCTGTTAGCGGATGGCTGAATTCGCAACCGCACGAGTTGCAAGTAGCGAGCAACATATGTTCATTCCAATATATTTGTGCTAATTCACCCGTATATAGTTAGTTAATCATGTACATTTTGTTTCTTTAGTTGGTGTCTAGTTATTGTATAGACAGTACATACAGGTTCTGCTATGTTTTATTGGAATTAAAACATAGCAATTATCAGTTACTAGATATTGGACGTATGTGTGATACATTTTTAAAGAAAATCAAGTCAAATTTAACAGGTCAGTGTGATGATCGCGAGTGTCCATTCATTGGACATTACCTTGTTAATTGCTTGTTTCTTATTATTTGACCTTACATTCACAAACGTTTCAATAAATGAAAGCCATAGACACATGTAAAAGTACTGATAAGTTATTATTCACACATTGCACACATTATAATGTAAAACCGTAAATTTCCTATGATATAACGAAACAGAATTTCAAGCAAAAGGTTCGTCACGGCAATATGTCGCTCGCCTGGCAATATGTCGCTCGCCTGGCTTAATGTATCGGCGAGTGCCTTGTCGCTGTGGGTTCGAGTCCTACCAGGCACTTTACCTTCTTTTATCTGAGCAAGAACCTACTAGGTACTTGCTAGCATGCACGTAGGGATACTTGACCGAGGTCTTTCTCCACCAGCAAAGCTGAACTGCCGCCATATATATGACCTGTAACTCGAGACCGACCAGCCAACAAATAAACAAAAATGCTTAGTCTTGTGCGCGACACGATTTTTCATAACGCTTTTATGGACTGCAATGTGATACTTTATTTCAAATTAGTGTATTGGCAGTTCTTTTCAGAAAAAAAAAAACAAACAAAAATAGATGCGTCTGTACATGAACACGCAATAAGATAACTGAGTATTTGTTTTATCTAGGACAAATCCAATCGTACCGATACACATTTAATTTGTGCAATATGGCTTTGTGTGGAAAGCCACACGTAACGAACAGCAACATCTATATCTGTATTGTACTGATGAGGATAAATTGTCAAATGAAACATTAATTTGCATATGAAACTGTAACATTATGATAAAGTATGTTTTACATATTTTGGAAAGAAAACAACACAGCGGTCTTATGTTTTATTTTACTATATTTTGTTTGAGAAAGGACGTAACCAATCTCGAATTTAAAATAATAATCTTCGAAAGCATTTTAATAAAATTCATTTATGTAGCGAAACCAGAAACGACAGTTTTAAAACCGTTTTTGTCTACACATGGCATCTTCATATCATAAGTTTTTGTACTTTTCAGCAATTTGATGGCAACTTCTGTTTGTGAGGAGCTCGAATTTGTTTTCAATCTTTGTAAATGGGCAGCTATTCGCAATGATTCAAAGTCAACAACTATATTATCAGGAGCTGTATAACGCGGGCTTGTGTCCGCCATTTTTACGGGTATTCTATTTACCTCCCTCCTAACTGGCAAGGATATAGACTTATCATTAACCAGGGTCTTAGTTTGTTTCTTGTACCGGAAGTTGTGCACATGGTCACCAATATTGCAAGCGTCTACACGTTTAGCTTCTAGTTTCTTCCCAAACACCACCGGATGTTTGTTTTGGTCAGATATTGACCGTGTTTTGTTTTTCTTCATTTTCAGAGTAGACATACCAACTATCCTTCGACAAGCATATTTTAAACTATCCCTTCTCACGTAATTTAACGGACTTCTTACCGGAACAGGAACGCTATCCAGTAAGCTGGTAGAAATCTCCTTTGTCGATAACTGAACACTTTTTCTAGGAAGACGTTTGTACTTTACGCCTAAAGAGTTCTCTGAGCTGTCATTGTTCAAATAAGTGTTTCCCACCTCGGTAAATTCATTTTCATAATAATTTTCGCTAGAATAGAGTCTATCTACATCCGTATCTTTCGGATTAACCATTTCAGAATCTGTATTTTCTGAGTATATTTTGTTTATCGTGCCTTCAAAAGCAGGCAATAAGTCCCGATTCCTTCTTTCCGAGCAACTTAAAGATGGATCAAGTAAAATGATGTCGTTCACCGAATGTTCTACCTCCTGTGTTTCGATTTTGTTACCGAAATAAAAATCATCAACATCATTATTTGTATCATCACCAGCATAACTTTCTTCACTAGTACTATAGTCTTGATCATCAAAGCTATCATCAAAATCCGGCACTTCTAGATAATTCAATAGCTTATCATCAATGTTTGTGTCGGTGTTATTGTCACTTCTTGGAATCTTTCCTCCAACAGATTTCCCGCCCGTTCGTCTTTTCCGGTGTCGTCTGCTACTATTGCTATGGCATCCTAGCCTCGTTTCTGTTTTGATACGTTCGGAAGATTGAAATTTCTCTAACAGCGACGGATATATATATTTAGACGATGACTTCTTATTCCTGGCCCATTTCTGATAATATTTAGGCTTGACTCCGAGCGAAACATCCAGGTTTAGGTCTTTCAGTTCATTTGAGTTTTTCGCCATCTCTGTTAACTCTTTTAAAATGAAGTCTTTTCTAGTTAACGTTTCACAATTGTACGAATTTTCATTCTGATTTGTCTTTTGAAGTTTCGATTTCTCTTTGAAATTCAAAATATGTGTACGCGCTTTGTGCGGTCTGGCTAAATTACTGGCGACTTTCGACCTTACGTTCTTATTTTCGAAAAGTACAATTTTCGGCTTTGGCACATTGTCTAACGGACACGGACTCAAAATAAATCGTCTGATATTCTCGCGCTGCATATCACTTAGCTGTTCAAAATCTGCCATTTTAACAATGTTTCCCGCTTCAAAATTGCTGTTGCTATATAAAATCGTAATCCAACAGCTGAAACTGTGCGTGGTGTTATATCCCTAATTTATTTAAGAAATTGACACACAGACTTGATTGATAAAATCCACTGTTTTTACATTTTCATTAAAGTTTATATTTTTACATTTATTACGACTGGTACACTGACAAAAAACTTTATCATTTGCATATGTCTGTAAAATCTGTAAAATTGATTGGCAACGACGAAGTCTGAAATAATATAACTGTTCTGTACATTGTCATATTTTCGCGAGTATTTGATTTTTATCAGCAGAAAAAAAACATATACACTTCTTGTATTTACTACGCTCCCTTTGCAGTTCACTGAATACATGGAATACACTCACGTTAGAGTAAGAAAGTGAGCGATAGTGGAACAGTCGACCGATGCGCAGGAGAGTAGTATTTACAAGAAGGCACACTAGAAATAATATTCTTTGTTTATTCTTATTTTTTTATACATGTTGGAGTGACTATTAATCTCGGAATGACTCGGATATTAAGTCTAATGGTTATATGTCTCTTATCGCTTGTTCAGAGACCACGTGGGATTAGTAGTCGGTCCCTTTCGGATAAATTGACAATTACTGTTTAGTTATCCAGAAAAGCCGATAAGAAGGGGAGCGACCGTCGATATATGACCAAACAATGTTTTGAAATTGGAAACCAGACACAACCAGAAACACGAACAAATAAAATAAAATCAAAACACAACAGGCACTGTAACATTACACAAAGCAATCCTGATGTCTCATAAATTTCATTTTTTGGATGCTATTTGTTTTACATCATACCTTAATTAAATAAAAAGTAATGCATAATAATGTTCTATGTATTATTATTATTTTTGGGACACATTGCTGTTCCGTGTTTACTGATTAATTTCGTGTTCGAGAATATATGCACCACATGAGTCATAAATTTACTTTTTATGCATAGTTTTGGTTGTGCAGTATTATTCAGAAATATCTTTATCATAGATCTTCGCCTCAGTAACAATTTCAATAAAATATTGCAATGGACATGTAAAGTACAAAAAAGTAGAAAAAGGCAATATAGGTTGATCGAACAATTTTTGAAAATTGCTCTAGTTATGGTCTGAAAATTGCAGAACTTACAGATGTTACCGTGTTTACAGTAAAGGGTAATATAACTGTGAAGGTTGTTCACACTTTGAAACTGTACAAATATTCCTGTTACATGTCCCTTGTTTTGTTTACAATACATCACTGTGGTATAGTCTATTTAATACATAACTACAGGCTGACGACCAATATCATGAATAATTGAAATTGAATCGGGCGCAAACAACATGTTTCCGTGTTCAAGTCCAATAAAATAGTCTATAAAATACAGCGTATGTACAAAATAGTCCCATGACGCAGTGTTATATTTTCCGTCTAAAAATTATAATACCATGTATATTTTATTTTATTATTATCATTATTATCATTTTTATTATTATTATTATCATTATTATCATTTTATTATCATTATTATTATCATTATTATCATTTTATTTATTTATTTATTATTATTATTATTATTATTGACTGACATTAGCATCACACTTGCAATGCACTAATAAAGTAATAGCTAAATTGGATATAGGAATAAATTCTTTACAAATCTTGAACATATTCGGCAGTTGTCTTACGTTATCCATATATATTGCCACTATGAGCCTATAGCCTTATGAAATAAATTAAAAAAACTCCTCCCTTTTCCACAAATTAATTACAAATTAATAGTGTTAATGTTATAACCCAGACAGTCGTAAATACCAATGTAATCAAATATACATGATAGAAAATCGTGTTTCTCCCAAATGTCAGTCATTTTATTGCTGATTCAACAAAAATGTTGACACTTTTTACATATAGATTATACTTGATAAAAATTAGTCACTTTCGATTATCGGAATACATGTAATACTAAATTCCAAATGTCATAATTAAAATATTCATGCATCATATTTCATTAATTAAAACTGACCACTTCAATATTAGCCAATCAGAAAGTAAGTACGACTCAAAACTTGACAACCGTTCGGTGCTAAAATGCCACCGGGCAACTTCCGCTTAGTGACGCATCCGAGCTGCATGTTCAATGGTTGAAAATTATTTCTGAATTGTCGTGAATATGAATATTTAAGACGTCTTTGGCATGTTCAGTTATCATAAACCTTAAGAAAGTAGAAAGCGCACATCTCCTTCGGACTTTTAAAAGCTACATTAAGAGGTATGTTTGTTTAACTTCACTTTTTCGAAATGATCGATTTTGACAATTCTAATTTACGGCATTTGATTTAGACTTCAACCAGAAGTTATTTACAAGATAAGTTTTTATCTTTGATGGTGAAACTATTTGATTTCGTCCAAACGAAGTTCTTTCAAAGTTTTTCCCTTCTCAGTACTAAGAATTTAATATTTCAGTGATTATGTATGATTACATTATTTTATTTCATGCTTTGTAGTGCTTTACTGCAATATATCAGATAATTATATTCTGATAAAACACTAGTTAAATTTATAAAAAATACAATTTTCACTGTAGCCGGACTATATCTGAATGCGATTGAAAAGAATATTATAACTAAATGGAATAACAGGCAAAATAAATGCCGTCATACATAAATTTTGCTTTTTTAGTAAAAAAAAAAGTTGACGACATCATACATCATGTTAAAAATATAACAAAATTAGAGAAATTTGATATAACTATATTTCAAAATTGATAATACCGCCGAGGTATGGTCAATACACTGTTAAATTCTGCTGAAAGGCCCATTATGCCTCAGAAATTATTTAACTCCTGGTGTCCTGTGATAGTTTCTAAAAAGTTACACATTCGCCAATTACCCGAGCCATTCTTTGACCTTGTTACGTTTTAACAATAAGCATCCTGCTTACATTTTGATAATTTTATGAGAAATGATTTCTCATTCAGCGCTACTTTCTTCACGCGTTAAACATCTCTTATGCTCTAACCTGAAACAATTCATGTTTACCCTATCTTCAGAAGGAAAAAACATGTCATTTTTCTGAAGCATAATGTGCCTTTAAAATTGTTTCGAATTCTAATATTCTACGACCAGTATGCAATGCAGACTATTTATACTTGGATGGGTTTTTTTCAGGACGAAAATGAGGAAGACAGTAAAATCCACCATATTGCATACACTTTTGTTGTCCTACACTTTCTTGCCATCAATATACAGTCAACAATTAGCAACAACAAATGGTAAGTCAACTTATAAAGATATTTTGCAATTGTTATTTCTCCATAACATAAGAAACATTTGTAATTTTTTTTGCCCGATACATGTGACAAAAGTTACTTATATAACAAACATTTTACACAGTCAAATTTCTGATAGAGAATATGATTTAAAAATTGAACTTAAATTAAATTGAACTTAAATTGTATCATTTTTAAAACTTTCTTCTTACAGCTGCTTATCCAAATACGTATCACCCAGGAAGCATTCATGGAACCAATTCTGCAACAAAGGGATATGCTAACATGCCTTTCGACACCAATCCCGTTCATGGACAATATTGGAACGGAGCTTCACAAACCTATCCGCAATATAACGCTCAACAATATGGCGACTATCAAACCGGATACGGAGCTTACAATACCGGATATCCTCAAAATGGCGCATATTATCCACAACAATATTACCAACAACCATATGCACAGTACGGACAGAATTATTACGGTCAGTACCCAGGTTTTGACGCTCAATACTGGTCTGGACAATATTACCCACAGCAGATGCCGTTGTACCAACACCAAGTCCCGGTTTATCACCCAGGAGTTCCAATGTACCCCCTATATCATGGTCAACAAAACTATTACGGCCATCCCGGCTACTACCCAAACCAGCAGTTTCATGGCGGGTATCCGTATCACAAGAAACGTATCGGTAAAGGATTCCTCGGTGGCACTGGACACAGTATGGCCAAAACACTTCTCGGTGCTGCGGTCGTCGGGGTTGTCGCTGGGACAGTGGCCAAAAAGGGATGATACTACAAATTTCGATGCACTATAAACCCAAAGTCTTTCGTTTATTTTCAAAATTAAAAACAAAATGTTTTATATATTATGTGTTGTGCTATTGTTTTCAATAAATCCTTTTTTTCAGAACTTTTAATGTTTGTCATTAATTAAAGTGTATACAAAACATATTATGAACATCCATCTAGCTAGAAATATCGAATTATTGTAAAAACTGTTATACCATTAGTCCCATTCAAGAGAGCAAAGGGATTTCATTAGTTAAAGATATATTAACAAAAAAGGCAACAATAAAGGGTACAACTCTGGTCAAACATTGCACACATATCCTGCAATAACTAAGATTAAAGTTTGATGCAAATCTTTCGGGTATTGAAATCCCGTCAGTAATCTCTACTGACAGATGAAGAATTATATAAAACTTTTTTTAATCAACGAGTGATAACTCGATTATAAATACACGCTTTTTTTAGTTGTACATAATTGCATTATCATAATTATGTCTTTTAGAGATACTTGCTCCTGCAAAATCTTTCTGAGCAGTTATCCTTTGGCCGTCAAAGGGGGTAGCATTCAGCAGGATACTATAATGCGTATACTTATTAGATCTTTTTTAAGCATTGAATGTCCCCGTCATAGGTAAAATAGGGCCGGGAGTCTAATATGTATCTTTGTTTTACGGTGATATAAATAAACAACACAATCGCATTATACATATATACAACATCTATTTTCTAAAACTCAGATATAATTAGAAAAGCAGAAAATGTTGGATAACTAAAGCTATGTATCTAGACTTAAAGCCGTTAATAGTCTAATTATTCATATGTACGAAACGTTTAACCCTAACCATACCTTTTTTTTGGTTATGTTTTTGCATAGTTTTTGCATTGGAACAACCTATTTCAAAATTAAACTTATTTCAGTGCCAGTGTATAAAATTCAGCTACCAATAGAACATAAAGCCTGGTCAGAATGGTGACAAATACTTGTCACTTTAGTGCAGCAGACACAGGGTTAAAATGAGGAACACCTCTAAGAGGTTATATAATTAACTACATGTATTCAAAATGTCGTAGACAACATTTTTTTCTCATCATCCCGACGTCATAACTTTTAAAATTTAAAATTTATTAGATATATTCCTTGGACATTTTTGAATTTACCTATATAGAATCAAAAGCCAATATTTTAAGTAACACTTTCGTATATTAAATGTTAATTTAATCGAATTATGTATTTGTCGGGGTCAAACTTACTGAATTTTATTCCTTAATTATATTCAATCTTCTCAGTCATATATAGAATGAGGAGCTAGTTAACAAATCATACTTTGTATAAAAAAAATCGAGAAAATCAAACTGGAGAAAAATGTACTTAGATTTTAAGAAAAGAAAACATATTCACAATTAAAAAAACACACAATAAATATGTTACATGTATATGCAATAATTAAATGACCGATTTTGCAGTATGTATCAGCATAATTGAGGCAGTTAGGAATAGTTTTTCATATTCTTACCAATTTTTATTTTGTTAATTGTCGTAAATTTAAAATGCCGTTTGCAATGTGTCAGTAAATGTCGTTTTTCGCTTGACAATATTTTGACGTTTTAGTACATTTTAATTTTTTTTCCATGAAAATGAGCATGAGTTTGGAAGCATGCCGCTTAAAAATGAAGCAAATGTTTTTTTCTGTTTTTTTTTCTGTAATTTTGTACTATCTGTAAAGTGTTTCTTCGGTATGAATGGCCATTTAAGTCTACAATATAGTTTATGCTTTAGTACAAGAACTTCTTTTTCTCAGACGATTCCACGTTGATGTACATTTCTCTGATCACGTCACCTTGCCTGGCGGGAAACTTCTCCAGTGTGCGGAATAGTATCTAAAAACGAAAACAAACACTTGTAACTATTCGAAAAAACGGTATCCCAATTATGATAAATTGCATATTCTAGTTTGTACAATTGTCTGTTCAAAGGCAAATATAGATTCTTATTGAAATTTCAACATTTTCATATACACTGTAGTTAATTGGCCAAAACCGTGCTATTAACTAAGAAACTTTTTTTTTTGTCCAAGACTTCAGAAAATTAATGTTATTATGATAGATTGTATGTATGTCTTTGACATTGGAATGACTCATATGGGCAGCAGATGTAAAAAATATTTTGAACTCTTTGCTAAGGACGATTTTTTTATATAATCTGTGAAAGAGGAAAAGGTAATCTAAATATTGCAAACAGATTCAAAACAAAAGGAAGAAAAACGTGTTGTTTCATTTTTGTACTTTTTTTCTTCCTTGATTGATATAAAATGTTTAAGAATATAAGGGGAGGTAATGACAATAAAACATGTTTAGAATCATTCAAGTAATTTACGGGGAGGTAATAACATGTTAAAAATTATGAAATTACCGGTAAGCTTCTAGCGGCAACCTCAACATGCTTGAACTCGAAGTATGTCCCATTTTCTGTGCATACCCGGACAGCGTACATGTGACTGTGACCTACTTCCGCGAAGCCTTCCGAGCGTTCTTCCGGTATCAGTGCCTCGTATTGGATGAGAATAACATCATCTTCCGGTGTCGTTTTCGTTTTAATCTTGTCACCAAGATTTAACTTCATAACTTTGCCAAGGTGAAATTGGCAGGAAAGTGCCTTCCCCTTTGATATATAATAATATAATATTGCTTTTAACAACAATTAATGGCAGTGTTTCCTCCGTATTTATTCTAGTCTTAGTAAATTTATAACTCTTTTTCTGTACTTTTTTTTATAAACAATGCTTTAAAGATGATAGCTGGTATATGATTATCATGTTCGATTGCGTTATTTTGTATATTAAATATTACGTTACAAGAAAAATATACATGTATCTAGGCAACAATATCCAAAGTTTACAAACCGGAGTTTGAAGTTCGGGCCTCCCATAGTCCATCACGGGTTTTGTATTACCGGTTAAATAAAGGCTTGACCCAACCTTTACTGACTTCACTTTGGTGATAAAGACGTCAGGGACGTCAATCGTCGGCATAACATCAATGATGACGTCATCATAGAATTTTCCAGGGAACTTCACTGTGACGTTGAACGTGGTTTTCTCAGCAATAAATATCTTATTGCTGCCGTCTTCAGGTGTTATGTCAAGGATCGGAGGCCGCTCAATGGAAGCCGCTGCGGAAAATTAAAAACTTATTTAAAGGAAGTTGTGAACAGCCTTACCATTGCAATACATTGATATAAAATGATTATAAAATAGCATTATTACGAAACCAGCCTGGTCAAATTCGTTGTTCGGAACTGCGACCGAACCGCTAACTCATCTCGTGTAATTTAATTCTATTTTAACTCTTCTTCACTTTTCATTATACAATCATAATTTTTGTATCTATCTTGATTTTTTTACACATCATTAGTTGCAGAGAATATAAAATAAAAATAGAAATTTTTACCTTTCACAATAGTAAGAGCAATTACAAGGGTGGTCGCTAGAAAGTCCATTCTGCTCTTGGTATAGTAAACCTAGTTTGCCTAGAAGATGATTTGTAACTGCGAAGTTAACATAATACACCCGAGTATCTGGCAATCTCCACAGCGACCGGAGCTTGCAAATCATTTTACCCTGAATTATTCATAACTGCTTTCACGTTTCAAATTCATAAATTCAAAGTAACGCCTTAATGGAAATGTTTTGAAATGTTATTGATCGGACAGTTGGCAAATAGAAACTTCTTGAATAATTTAAAACGACGGTTCTGAAATTGCTGAAGCTTACATACATGTATGGAAAATGTTGTTGAGTGATTTAAGGGGAGGCAAGTAGATGAAGCGTAAATTAAGCCTATTCAGGAATTTACTGTCGCCAGGGATATCTTTGTGAAGATCTTAGACAAAAAATGTCTACACGCGTTTTCTTAACTTTTATTATTGTGACAGACCTTTATACACTGACTTGATATCGCATAAATTATAAGAGATTATTGATGTGTCTACATATCAGATCTTGTTGGCGAAGCAAATGTTTGACTTAAGCCTTTAGATACTCCGGGTGATCCATAAAAACAGGGGCTTTCCGAGGAGCACTTTTAAAGTGAATGTCTCTGATATTTTTTGAGAAATTATATTAAATATAATTTTTTAAAATATATTTTTTGTATTTTCTGATCGCAGATCAGGAAATACAATGCTGACATTCAATCTCTGGCGACAAATCCAACAACAAGTAGTTCTCAAAACAGCTTAAAACTAGCGATGTTAAAGAAAGAAATATTTTCATCCAACAAATTACAACGCATTCAAAGTTTAAATGTAGCGTTGGCATATAGAATTGTCAATAAATGCAGAATCACAAATTAAGCGGACTAATATCATTTTAATCAATGAAAATGCTATTTTTAGAGATGTCGATTACCGAATACTTCAGAGCGTAGTTCACAAATAAATCTGACTGTCGAGTGAAGAATACATGTATATACATGTCGGACTGTTTTGGCGAGAAGATTTTCGCTAAATTATTTACATCAGTGTTATCGTGAACAAAATATCTCGAAATTAATAAGGATTACAAACCCGAAATGGAAATTCTAAATTTAGAATTATTTGATTTTATTCAGACTTTCTTCGTATAACTTCCACGTGGTACAGGGGTAATGCGCTCGTTTAGGGTGTTAAAGGTCTGGGGTTCAAATTCCAGTCGAGGCAACTATTTTTTTAAGTGTCTTTTTTAAGGAAGTAGCCACGATATGCATAGATAAAGTGTGACTGTCATAAAAAAATGAACATAAATGATTTTTGATGCAACTTTAGTCATGCCATATTCCGTATGTATCAAACTCAAACTGTTATAGTAAAAAATCTAAACGCAGTCGCTGCATCTCGGTGCCCTGCAAGGTGAATTATAGTATATAAAAATAAACTTATACAGGAAAATACATACAGATATACAGTACGATTTAGATTGCAAAGATCAGAAAATACCACAGAGCTTGCAGCCCTTTGATAAATATTTAATATCTGCCCTTTTAGCATGACATCGCATGCTGATAATGAGCACGAATAATGTGAATAGATTAAGTTTATGATCAAATAGACCTAAACGTATTGCCTTGACCTTTTGACCTTAAAACGATACGGCAGGCAGAGCTTTTCAAATTGCATGCACATATCATGTTTCAAATTACTATATACATTTTTATTAACATTGAATATAATGGCAGTAGAACGGATACTTCACTTCACTTCTTTCCTCCACAACACCCTGTCCCTCCTCCCCAACCCAACATAAAAGGTTAACAAACGCCGATAAGTTGGGCATGACATGGCTCCGCATTTTTGCTTGAATTTAGGGGAACAATTAAGAGTCTTTATTTCATAACGAAAGTTACCCATTTTCAATAATTTTAAAGGCCTCATTGAAACGTATAAGCTAATGTCCTCCATCAAATTGATATCTAGCTGTCTTCTGTCACAACATATGCGATTTGGATGGACTGCTGTTGCTTCTGTTGGTTACTGTAGTATTTCCTTGACCTTTATGTGACCTTGACCTTCTTAGTTTTTTAATGAAATAAAATCAATTAAGATTCTTTTGTACAACCTTGCCATAACTAAACTTTAACATTAACATTTTTCTTTATAAACTGACTTATTATCTTGTCATTTTCTGAATATATGTGTCAATATAAAAAGGATCAGCCTGAAATGTGACAAATATCTAAAACAGCAGTCATTGAAATAATGACAATATCACATACTGTTTTCACAATTGACATAGACCCTTTCCATCCAGCGATCCTTCTTATCATGTAGCAATTTGTACTTTCAGTGTGAGGGTTAACGACCTTGACCTATTGATTACTTTCTATTGTGATATTACATTCATAAAATCAGTGCACCACATACAGTTATTGATTTAAACCATGTGTTAAGTTTTTGGACCAGATTTGATTTCTTACATTTACTAACACTGTCACATTGTTTAATAGTCGTTATGAGCAATCTAGCACTACTTGAACTTAGTGCGATACATGTATCTTATACGGACCCCTTAGCACCGACTTGAGCAGTATTCAATCTTCAAAACTAAACCATTTGAAGGTTAGGTGGTCCGATAGCTCAGTTGGTTAGACCACTGACTGTCACTCCTGAGGTTCCGGGTTCGATCCTGGGTAACACCCTTGGAATATTTCAGAAACACTATCAGTGTTTCCCACCTACCTAGAGGTATACTACGGAATGCCGTTAGGGCAATTGCCTATGAATGTGTTGATCTGAAACGCGATAGTCGATAGTACGATGGTGAAAACGCGAAATCACGAAACTACGATGGTGAAAACGCGAAAGTACGATGATGAAAACGCGATAGTACGATGATGAAGACGCGACAGTACGATACTACGTTGATGAAAACGCGATAAACTATCGTGTTTTCACCATCGTACTGTCGCGTTTTCACCATCGTAGTTTCGTGATTTCGCGTTTTCATCATCGTACTGTCGAGTATCGCGTTTCAGATCAAACCATTAATAGGCGATGGCCCTAACGGCATTCCGGAATACCGTTAGGGCCATCGCCTATGAATGTGTTAATTTGAAACGCGATAGTCGAAAGTACGAAGGTGAAAACGCGAAATCACGAAACTACGATGGTGAAAATGCGATAGTACGATGATGAAAACGCGATAGTACGATGATGAAAACGCGATAGTACGATGATGAAAACACGACAGTACGATGGTGAAAACGCGATAGTACGATGATGAAAACACGACAGTACGATGATGAAAACGCGATAGTACGATGGTGAAAACGCGATAGTACGATGACGAAAACACGACGATAAAATCGCGAAATCACGATGGTGAAAACGCGAAAGTACGATGATGAAAACACGATAGTTTATCGTATTATCATCATCGTACTGTCGTATTATCGCGTTTTCGTTATCGTACTGTCGTGTTTTCATCATCGTACTGTCGCGTTTTCACCATCGTAGTTTCGTGTTTTCGCGTTTTCATCATCGTACTGTCGAGTATTGCGTTTCAGATCAAACCATTCATAGGCGATGGCCCTAACGGCATTCCGTAGTATACTGGTACGAAACCCTGATAATCCTCGCATGTATCAGTGCTATACACTGAACATGTAAAAGAACCAAAGGATCTATTCAATAAGAGCTAGGGACTGGTTCCAAGATCCCCTTGTATCTCATAGCTGTCTCTAGTGTCTGCTGAGGTGAGGACCCTACTGGAAATAAGTGCTTGCATTTTCGTAGGCTATCATTGACCGCCCGGTCTAAAGAAATCAAATCAAAGAATGACTGAACCTGTCGGAACATAAAAAACAACATAATAACACAGCTGCAACTCATAAAAAATAGATTTGCGAAAATCTCGTACGGCAGAATCTGTTCGTCCGACATGATGGAAAATGCAACATGCCTCACGTCTCCTAGCACCGATTTTAGTATTCAGTCTGCAATGCTATTTAGCATAGAAATACACGACAAGGTAATTGGAAACGTGTTTGATAAGTCCTTTACGGATATCATAATAAAATGAAGGGACGTAATTCATACACGTTTTCGACAACAGAATCTATAATCTCTTAACTCCCTTTTTCTATATTATAACATTGTTAAATAGATAAATAAGTTGTTCGTACGTATAATAAAATAAATTTCCAATAATTCATTTTAAAACCCCAGTAGCAAATATATCTCTATATATTCTAGCGTTTTATATATAATTATGCTGTTTTATGTCCGATTAACTAATAAAAGGCCTAAGAACATCAGCTAAGCATCGAGTCCTAGCCAATATTTCGACAAAAATAAACTAACAATATGCTTGTAAAAGCAAGCGAACTAAATAGAGAAAAAGGCCTAAGAACCTCAGCTTAGCATCGAATCCTGGTCGATATTTCGGCCAAATAAACTCGCAATATGCTTGTAAAACCAAGCGAAATAAATAGAGAAAATGCATAAGAACTCCAGCTTAGCATCGAGTCTTGGCAGATATTCCGGCCTCGATACCTACATAAATAAACACACACTATGCTTGTAAAACCAAGCAAAATAAATAGAGAAAAAAAGAATGTTATATGTTATAACGGCATCAGTGATAATAACCGACCAAAAACACAACCAGAACCATCCCGAGCACAGCGCTTATATCTAACACCATTTTCCAGAATGGATCTTCTATAAAGAACTGTTTCTTATATTTGACATGACAATCTTCGCTGTGATAGGAGTGTGACACTATTGGCACGCCGCATATTCTGTACAGGATCCGTCTAACCTTTCCGATCTCATTAGAACGCTGTCTATCCTCGTCACTCGTATCACGTGATCTAGTGTCGTCTGATGTCGAATTCTCAGACGATTCACTTTCAACTGTAAAATCCGTCTTACCTAAAACATATCAAATAAAACAGTTGCGATCTATACGAAACTTTGTGTTAAAATACTTAAAAGACAAAGCTATATTCAACTGTAGAAATTCTTATTTTTTTTTAATTTTAGTTTAATCAAAATTGAACAAGTATGTTCTGTCAGAGTTGACATAATAAAATATTTGTCCCAGACATGAAACAGAGATACAGGTGTATGAAA